ACCAGCAACGAATATGTGAGAGGTAGGTCCTTGGCTGACCGGTGCATATGTCCCATCGTATGTCCCCCAAGTTTGGCCGCATCCCTTGACCACCCAGCGCGCTTTGAACCGGTTTGGCTGTCCGTGCTCATCTCGTTTCACTCGTAAAACGACTCCTTCCGACAGCACCGGTGTTCCTTTTGGTACGTCCGCTCTGTCCACCACTTCGTATGCGTCCAGCTCATCGAACTTGGCCAATTCTGCATCCACAGCGGCTTGCCAAAGAGGTGCGTACCGGTCCTTGATCATTTCTTGAAGTGTTTTTAGCTCTTTGTATGTCAGCTCCACCATGGGGACGCCGGTTGCTGCACATCCTAGTACGGTCTGCTGCTGCAAGTTGGGAAATCGTGTGACTGTTTGTCTTGCCTGCCGCCTCCCAAATAGTACGTCCAGGCCTGTCATGTTGTCCGTCCCGTGTCCTTCTCCAAGCACTGTTACCGTTGGGTTGAAGTGAACCCGCCGTGGCGGTACCTCAAGAGCAACCAGCTGGATACCCTCGGGTGGGTAGGCAAAGTCGTAGAGATGACTTGCTTCATGTTCTGGTTCGTTGATGTCAGCACCTTCACAAACAGAGATGCCTGCCGCTGGTAAGTCACTTGTCGTTGTCTCTTCTCTTGTATCGGCTTCACGAGCTGCTGGTGAGTCTTCTTGAGCTCCGTCATTTGCCTCAGGTCCATGTTGTTCTGCTGTGGCGGCGTCAGAAGATGATGGGGAGGAAGTGTGGGATATGGGAAAAGAGTCGAATGCTGACCCAACGTCGTCTCCCCCTGAAGTCCACTCCGAGATATGAGGTGAGATTTCATCCATGTATCGTTGGCGTTCGAGCAGAGACTCGGCGTCCGGGAGCATGAGGTCGTCAAAGAACCGAGCAGAGCGTGTGTCGGTGTCAACGTCGCTTGCCAAGTCCCGCACGATCCAGGCCTTGCGTGAGTTAGAGAGGCCGAGAAACATGCCTGCCCGTCCTCGTTGTTCAAATTTCCCAAAGCTGCCTTGGGGAGGGAGATAGTAGCAGAGGCATCCGAAGGTTCTAGCCATGGAGACATCTGCTGCCTTTCCCATCATCATGAAGTATGGTGAGTGTGCAGATGGGTTGCTGCTGCAGCTGATGCGGTTGTGTAACCATGCCGCATATTCCAGTGCATAAGGCCAGAACTTGGAGGAAAGGCTGGCCCCGGTAGTCATTGCTCGCACTCGGTCCATGAGTGTGCGGTTAACCCGTTCGGCGACTCCATTCTGCTGCGGCGTGTGTGGCAAGGACGTTTGGTGATTGATACCGTGAGAACTCAAGTAATCCGTGAATGCGTTTGATGTATACTCCCCCCCGTTGTCCGTGCGCAAGGCAGCCAGCGGCATCTTGGGCAGCTTGGTCTTCATCTCACGGTGCCAAGCCGAGAAAACTGCAGCCATGTCGGACCGGCGAGCCAACGGCGCCACCCACAGGTAGTTGGTGTAGTCGTCCTTGAGCGTCAGCACATAGCGAAGGGAAGGGTGAGCATCACCCAGGTCCATGATGTCGCTGTGCACGAGCTCCAAAGGTCGAGTTGTGGCATTGGTGCTTCCTGTGGGAAAAGGGGCCTTGCTCATCTTCCCTCGAAGACATGAGTCACATGGGGGTTTGAGAGGGTTAGTCTTGTCGGATATAGTGAGTCCTTCAACATCACCATTTCGAAATGTCGCATCCATGGATGTGTATGATGGGTGACCCAAGCGCTTGTGGGCCATGCGATATGTGATGGATGCATGAGCAGATTGCACATTCGGCCCTCCAAGGTCAGTCTCATTCAATGCTTCATTCGGATGATCATGACCAGATGCATGGGCGGATGCAAGTGCAGGCTCATATTGCACCATTAGCACCCCACGCATGACCATTCCAACTCCAATGAGTACATGCTCATCCCCATCCGCCATTGTGATCTCCGTGCGCCCATCCTCACGTGTGTGAATGCGAGCTCCTTTCTTGTACAACTGACAATAGGAGAGCAAGTTGGACTTCAAGTCGGGTACGTAGAGTACGTCCGTGTAGCGCACTGTTGTTCCATTGGGTGCCGTTGCTCGGATTGTTCCCGCCATCGAGCTCAACAGGTGGCTTCCGTCAGCAAGTTCCACGTAAACGGGTTCGTTCAGCTCCTCTAAACCCTCAAACCACTCCTTTTCCGAAGTCATGTGTTGGCTGCATCCGCTGTCCAGCAGCCACATCGACCCTCCGGTTGACGGTGATGTTGCTTGCGACGATCGAACCGTTGCAATGCATGTCATGGTTCGTTTGTTGTCTCCCCCGCCTGCCCCTTGATGTTTTGTCGCTTGGTTGTCACGTTTCAGACTTTCACTCCTTCGCGGTGAGGACGAGCGACTACTCCAGGTGCGCTGGTTGGTTCTCCCTCTGTTTTGTGGTTCCCAACCTGGTGGTGACCAACCCGGAGGCGCCTTCGGACACTTGTAGAACGGGTGGCCAGATTCCTTGCAGTACCAACACACAAGGTTAGACCGTCCTCCCGCTGACCTTGCCGCATTTCGGTTGTCCTTTGTCTTGGTTCTCTCTTTCGCTAGTGAATTATCTCCACGTGCTTGGCCAGCCATGCGGGGAGGACGCTTGTCACGGTTGGTCTTGCTAATGAGGTCTTGGTAGCGTTGTTCCTGAATCATCATTCGTTGCAGTGCGTAGCTGTCCGAGATGTCGTGTAGCATTGCCGAATGCCTCAACTCCTCCCAATGCGGCGGCAGCCCGGTGATCAAATTTAAAGTGAATGAATCTTCATCTACCATTTTTCCCGCCATTGCCAGCTTATCCCGAAGTGCAGTTGCTCGGTTGATGTATTCCTCCACTCTTTCTTGGCTCCCCATCTTCAGGTTGTCCAATTGCCTCTGGAGAGACGCCTTTGCTACCGAATCCTTCGCCTGGTAAGTCTCCATCAGGTACTCCCATGCTTCGAATGCCGGACTGTATGACTCTTGGAACACGTCAATTTGCAGCTGAATCGTTGCGCTTACGCTATGCAGGAGCACCCAAAAAGCCAGCGTAGCACGTTGTGAGTAATCTGCTTGTAGAACTTCCAGCCGTTCCATTGCATCTCGCATTTCTCCTTGCACCATTGTAACCGGGTACTGTAGCGTCACGAAGAACTCCCACAGGTTTGTCACGCGCGCGTTCATGCGAAATCGAAGAGCCCACTCTCAAAAGTTAGTGCCGTCGAATGGAGTTGTTGTGAACGCTTTGTCCACCGCTGCTCCCACCATTTTGCGTGACAACCTGTCCTTGTCTTCTTCCGTGTACTCGCGTGGAGACGGGTCGAAGAGCGTAGGCACGTTGGATGGTCGAGGTAGTTGTACCGTGCGTTGTGTGCCTTCACGTTCCACCACTTCCACTTGATCACGTCGCATAACACCACTTGACTGCATCCCGTGCCCCATGCGCCCCATGCTTCCTGCATGTACCGCTTCCATTTGAAACCGTGGCGCACGAGGAGGTACGACGTTGTTGCCAAAGAGGTGAGATCTGCCCATCACGGGAACTCCAATGGGATGGGAGTTAGTGGCGAGACGTCGCAGTGGGGGAGCACCAATAGTGTAGGATTCGAATCCCACACCATCCATGCCCACATGACTGCTTCGACCACTCCCTTCCCCAATCTGCCCTCTCATGATTCTTCCCACGCCGATCCCATCACCATGCTCCATCACATTTGTTCCATTCCCGTACGCATCATCCCTCCCCGTTGCTTCCCTTTGCATGGTTGATTGAGGTTCGGGGTGGGAGCTCCCCTCTCCTTGGAAGGATGCATCCCTCCCTTGGGATGACTCTCCTCCTTGGGGTAAGCTTCCCTCTCCTTCACCTTCAATCCCTGCATCCATATTTGAAGCACGGGTTTGGTTAGTACGCGGAGTGCTTGCATGTGACTGTTCACGGATGGATGGGTTGCTGAAATCTCGAACTTGGGCTGGCATGTTGAACTTTGCTCTTAATGATGCTTGGAGTGTTGGTGGTGCCCTTGCAATCATGTTCTCCAGGTGCTCATGTTGAGCCATGATGGCTTCTTCAAACGCCTCGTATCCAGCATCGACTTAATCGTCGAACCGCGCCATGCCTCCAATCCAAATGTTGTCACTTGCTGTGCGAGTCTGCTAATATCCCTGTCCAATGTGAATGCTGATAAGGTTCTAACCAAATTTCGGCAGCATGCCCCCTAGAGTAGCTCTGATACCATGTTAGAAAGGCATAGTGCCGGTATTGCGGAAGCTTGATTGTAAAATAAGTAGCAAGAGGAACTTACAACTGAAAAGATTCAGAACAATGGAATTGTTATGAAAATGACAGAGTAGGGTATTTATCTGAGCAGCTAACCCCTTCAGGATGGTTCTATCCACACCAACAATGCCACGCCAATAATTCTACCCACCAATAATTCTGACCCTCCAATAATTGTACAATTATTGGAGGACTGAGAGTCTTATAAAGGAACACTACAGTAAAACCTAACAGCATAAGTATCATCTTATGTTTGTTATATTTAACAGCGTCCAACCCCGAAAAACAGTGACCCTCAGGGCCAGCGAGTCAGTTCCCCCACGTCCGCCCAGCCCCGAGGCTGGAAACCCCCTCAGGACGTCAAATGGAACTGTAGAGCAGGTGGGGATGAGATACTGTAGAACCTGCTTGAGGCGACCGTTAGAGGCACCAACACACAGAAGGTAGCACAATTTTTTGCGCACGAGAGAATACCTGTACAAGTACATTTCTAGGTACCGGAACATACATTTTGATCAAGGTACACTACCCTTTAATTTTGGCAGAGGGGAATCCGCCAACAAGCTTACAACACTAACTACAAGTTCTACCAATTGCCAAGGATACCAACTGTCTCAAAAGTTGGATGGACCTTAGACGGGGTATTTCAGAATACTGAAACCCCAACAAACAACTCCAAGGATTTTCAAAGCACTTCAGGCCTTCGACCAGTGTTTCATGCCGTTTCATCAGCTACACCTGCAATCAGCATCCAGGACACAGCGTCAAGGCATTTTTTTGGTTACGGCGGAAGAGGCCACAGATGGTGGATGGAGAGATAGGATAGGTTGAGCACAATGTCACAAGCTAGATACAGTATGCATCTCGGCCCAGCTCTTTGTCTCTGGCACAGACTCACCAGGACGCAGCAGGAGCCGCAGTGATGCTAGCACAGCGCTAGCTGGCGTGATGTCAGGTGGGGGTGGTAGGCGAGAGGAGCTTGCGCCACACATCCAGTCTCCACAGGCCCTGTGAACATCCCAGTGATGGCGGGTGCAACGGGGAGGAGGGCTGGGAGGTTGTCGGTACGAGCAGGGATTTTGACGCGCAGTAACACACACATGCTACTTAGGACTACAGTTTGCATGAAAACCCCCAAGTCACACACACGCGTGCGCGCGCGCATGCACACTCACACACACACACACACACACACACACACACACACACACACACACACACACACACACACACACACACACACACACAAACAATCAAACAACTGCAACGAGGTCTCACCTTCTTCTCATCCTGGCCCTGGCCCTGACCCTGCGCATCATCCCCATGCACCTCCCCCTGGCTGTGCCCCTGACTAAGCCCCTGGCTAAGCCGCCTGTTGTGCCTCTGCCCCCTCCTGGGCATGAGAGGCCCACTCAGACGCCTGCCCCTGTGCCAGCCACTCACCCCCTCGCCGTCCTTCCCTTTCTCCTCATCCGCCCCCTCCTTGCTCCGTGTGCTGCTTGCAGCAGCCGCAGACACACTCCTAGGCCACTGCAGCGCCGCTGCAGACGTTCGACTGATTGGTGGGGGCGAGGGAGAGGGCCCTGGGGAGGGGAAGGGCATACCGGCGTAGGACCTCTGCTGCTGCCTCTGCTGCTGCTGCTGCTGCTGCGGCTGCTTCTCTGCCGATTTCCCCGGCGCCTCAGCCGCTTCATCCCACTCATCTCCTTCCTCAATTGCACTCACAACCCGGCCAACCCGATCACCCTCCCCCGCAACCACCTCTTCCTCCTGGCTTTCCACAGCCTTGTTCCGCTCCTGTGCCTCTCTTCCCAACAGCTGTTGTCGACGATTCACCATCTCCCGGATCCCCGGAAGGGTTTCTGCTAGTTGCTCCACCATCCGCTCTTCCTCCTCGCTCAGCCTCGCCCTTGCTGCCAGCCGCTGCAGCAGGCGGGCAGGGTCCATGCTGCTCATATCCAACCTCTCTCCTGCTCTCTCTCTCGTTCTCTCGCCAGTTGCGTCTGTGCCTGAAGCGCCACCACCCCCGCTGCTGTCAAGCTGAGCCGCGGCAGCAGAAGAGGCGGGGGCGGACGAGGGGGAGGCAAGGGCGGCAGCAGCAGCGGAGGGGGATGGCACACTGGATGTGGATCGGCTGGAGGGGAAACGGTAGCGTGCAGAGACGGAGGGGACGAGACGGAAGTTGCTGGTAGGCGTGGTAGGGGAGGCAGCTGTAGCTGCAGGTGCAGACGGAGTGACGGCCTCAGCAGCAGCAGAAGCAGAAGGAGCGGTTGAAGCAGAGGAAGCAGCAGCAGAAGTTGCAGTGGTCCGTGCTTGAGCGTTCCCCTCAGAATTCGGGGACATGGGAGGTGAGGGAACAGCACCAACTGCAGCTGCAGCTGCGGCTGCAGCGGCAGTGGCAGCAACAGGGGAGGTATCAACGCGAAGTGCAGCGAAAGGCGTGCAGGAGGGGCGGGCGGGGGAACGGGAGTTGGAGAGGGAATGGGAGTGGGAGTGAACGGAGGAGTGGGAGGCAGCAGAGGTGGATCGGCTGATGGGGAAGAAGCGGCGAGCTGATGACAACGCAAAGGACGACGATGAGGCAGACGGTGGGGCAGACGGTGAAAGAGGCGGCGCAGCAGAGGACAGGGCGGAAGGCAGCGTAGGGGTGGACGATGGGGAAGACAAGGCTATGTGCGGGTGTGCATGTGCGGGCGAGGGTGACGACGTGCTGTGGCGAGCGTGGGGCGTGTGCAGCAGAGGAAGGGTGAAGCGTCGCAGGATGCTACTGGTTCGCGAGGAGGGAGGGGTTGCGGGAGGAGAGGCGGTGGCTTGCCGTGTGGGTTGAGCTTGTGGGGATGTGAGAGGGGCAGGAGGTGGTGCTGCGGGGTTGAGAGGAGCGGATGGGGAAAGAGAGTGCGTGGTATGATGGGTGATTTGATCAATGACAAGTGATGGGCGAGCCTGGGAAAAGAGGGCGCCTGTTGGAACGGTCGACTCAATTGTGCTTTGTTGAAAGCTGCTGCCTGCTTCCACTGCTGCTTCTACCCTTGCTCCTTCCTCTGCTTTCCCTGCTCCTGCTCCTCCTGCTGCTGCTGCTGCTCCTGCTGCTGCTTCCTCTACTGCCCCCGCCGCTATTCTAGCAGTATCGCCTTTCCCTTCCGCCCGTTGCCCTGTCCCTGAGTCTCCATGACCTTCCCTGCTCGCACCACCCACAGGCTGCGGCGCATCCGCGCCTGCAGCAGCACCAGCAGCCTCAGTGGGCGCACTTGTAGTGGCAGGTGACGAGCAGGCATGTGGGGAGGCAGCAGGAGGAACAACAGTTGGAGGAGCAGGGGCAACAGGAGGAACAACAGTTGGAGGAGCAGGGGCAACAGGAGGAACAACAGTTGGAGGAGCAGGGGCAACAGGAGGAACAACAGTTGGAGGAGCAGGGGCAACAGGAGGAACAACAGTTGGAGGAGCAGGGGCAACAGGAGGAACAACAGTTGGAGGAGCAGGGGCAGCAGGAGGAACAACAGTTGGAGGAGCAGGGGCAACAGGAGGAACAACAGTTGGAGGAGCAGGGGCAGCAGGAGGAACAACAGTTGGAGGAGCAGGGGCAACAGGAGGAACAACAGTTGGAGGAGCAGGGGCAGCAGGAGGAACAACAGTTGGAGGAGCAGGGGCAACAGGAGGAACAACAGTTGGAGGAGCAGGGGCAGCAGGAGGAACAACAGTTGGAGGAGCAGGGGCAACAGGAGGAACAACAGTTGGAGGAGCAGGGGCAGCAGGAGGAACAACAGTTGGAGGAGCAGGGGCAACAGGAGGAACAACAGTTGGAGGAGCAGGGGCAGCAGGAGGAACAACAGTTGGAGGAGCAGGGGCAGCAGGAGGAGCAGAAGCAAGAGCAGCAGTAGCAGCAGCAGAGGGAGGAGGAGGAGGAGGAGGAGGAGGAGAAGGGGGAGCAGGTGTGTGTGGTGTTGGCAACTGTGACAGTAGCATCGCTAGCCCATCCCCCGCCCCCCTTACAACATCTCCTCGCCCTGCAACACAGACCTTCTCCTCCTCTCTACCCCTCGTCCCTTCACCCTCTCGCTCTCTCCCGCCCACACCTAAACCCCTCGCCCCGTCGCCCCTGCCCCCTCCCACGCCCATCTCCTGTCCCCACCTTCTGCCTGCCCCCATGCGTTCCAAGGGGGCGTACGCAGCACAGGGCTCAAGGGGAGGCTGCGCAGCAGAGGGTTCGGGGGAGGGGCGGGCAGCAGGGGGCTCGGGGGAAGAGTGCGCAGCAGAGGTTTCGGGAGAGGGGCGTGCAGCAGGGGGTTCGGGGGAGGGGCGCGCGGCAGGGGGCTCGGGGGAGGGGCGCGCAGCAGGGGGTGCAGTGGAAGAGGGGGGAGCACAAGTAGTGCCGGCGAATGGAGCAGAAGGGACCAGCGCGGGGGCAGTGGCAGGAAGAGGTGGGGGCACGGACAGAGGGAAAGAAGGGGGCGAGGGCTGATGGGAGAGGAGAGGAGGGATGGAGGGACGGTGAGAGGGTACGGCGGGAGAAACAGGAGGCTGAGAGGAAGGCGGGGATATGTGTTGCAGATCAAGCACGGTGGTGGTATGGTTGGGTGAAGCGGTGATAGTGCTAGGCAGGGTGTGGGTGGGGTTGATGGTTGGTGCAGCAGAGGAGGGGAGAGAAGGAGTGTCAGTGACACGTGGACGAGCCGCTGAGCTGATGGTACTCAGCTGTGCCTCGAACTGCGGAGGGGGGAATCAAGAAGGGGAGGCAGTGAGTGCCATGGGAGCAAGGGGCAGCAGGGATTAGGCAGAGAGCCATGGGGGCTATGGAGAAACAATATCAATACAGCTCAACCCAACCCTCACCCCGCAACTCCAATCTACCTAACATCCCCTTGCCGTTTTCCACCACCACCACTATCAAACATCTCCTCCTTCCTGATTGTATCCCTCACCTCATCAATTTCTTCGAACTCTCGCTCCATCTCCTCCATCGAAAACGCGCTACCCGCCGCTGCTCTTCCTCCTCCTCCGCCTCCGCGCTGCCCCTCCCGCCCGCGCTCCGCCGCCCCGGCCCTCCCCGCCACCTCCGCTGCCCGCGCCTCCGCGGCGATGGTGGCAGCTGGCACGCATGCAGAGGAGGCGGAGGAGGAGGCGGAGAGCGAGCACGGCGGTGGCGCCTTGCGCTCCTCAGAGTAGCGCGAAAACGACGCGGAGTACTTGTACCCGCGCTGCTGATGCCCCCCCGCCCCCGCTGCGCCGCCAGCGGCAACAGCAGCAGCGGCGGCGGCGGAGCCCGCAGTCGCACCACTGGCGGAGGAGCCCGCGCCACTAGAGCTGGCGCTGAGAGCGCCGCTGCCGCTCGCACTGACGCTGGCGCTGGCGCTGGCGGTAATTGTGGTGATGGCGGCGGTGGCGACGGCGGCATGTTTGACGGTGGTGATGAGGGAGCGCAGAGCCACGCGCGGACTGATGGGCGGTACTTGCTTGGAGCCCTGCTGCTCGTCGCGATTCCACCCCTCGTTCCACGCTGGCACGCCCTGGCGATAACACACACCACGAATCCCACGCGCGAGCCCCCCCCACACGCCCCAGAGAAAAAGGAAAACGGGGTGAGAGGGAGGGGAGGGGAAGGGAGGAAGGAGGAAGCGGAAAGAAAGAGCATGAAGGAGCGACTGGTGTAACATACGTCATGGGACTCATCATTCAACATGGCGCCTACGTGTCATGGAATACCACGGCACGCCCTCCCATGCCTTCCGCAACGCACCTCGCTGCCCTTGCTCAGCTTGTCCCGCCGTATATTCGTCACCACGTACCGCCGCCGCCCGCTAAGGCTCTCGCTCCGCCCATCCGCGAGGACCTGCGCCGTGCCGATCATAGAGCGGACGCTGTTCCGCGCATCGCTGCTCGCGCGCGCGTGCGCAGCGCCGACCGCCCTTCCCACGCCGTGCGCGCCGTCGACCTCTCCGCCGACGGCCGTGGAAGATGCGTCCGCCGTTGAGCCCGGTAGGAGTGCGCGCGGAGATTGCTGCGGGAAGGGGGCCGCGCTCGCTTGGTCCGGAAGTCCTGCCCGCTCGAACTTCCCGATTCCCGCTAGCTGTTGCGCTGGCTGCTGCTGCTGCTGTGTTTGCTGCTGTGTTTGCTGCTGTGTTTGCTGCTGTGTATGCTGCTGCTGCTGCTGCTGTGGTTGTCGCGGGTACGGTTTCGTTTGTTGATATTGTGGCTGTTCCTGCTGCCGCTGCAGTGACGGTCGCTCCTCCGGCTGCTCATCCTGTTCCCGCGGCTTCAATCGTGGCTGCGATTGCTGCTGCAACAGTTGCTGCAACTGCTGCTGCGCTTCTTGCTGTGATTCCCGCTGCGATTGATGCTGCGACTGTTGCGCATGCTCCGATTGGATCTCGACCGTAGCGCCATTCGGCATAGCAGCAGGCTGACCGCCGCAAAGGTTAACAGCAAGGACTTTGCCATTGCCACAGTCCTTCTCATTGTCATGTTCATGTTCATGCCCGCGAATGACCGTCGCCGCTTCGCTAAACTCCTTAGCCCACGCCTTCCAGTCGCCCACGCTACTCAGCACCAACTGCCGCTCCCAATCTCGCGGCGGCTGCGGATGCGGCTGCGGCTGAGGCAGCGGCTGCGGTTGCGGCTGCGGCTGTGGGTATGGAAACGGATACTGCTGCAGCTGCTCCGCGTGCGCCATCGCAATAAAACTTTGGTCAATTTGCGCCTTTTTAACCTAGTCACGACACGAGCGATAGGCTGGTTGTGAAAGTCACCGAAGTTACCCCAGTACAAGGCTGGGATCTTGCGATGACCGATAAATAAGGCAGCAGAAATACTATAATGTTGAGGTAGGCAAGCTGGACTCACAGGACGCGACGGAGCTTCGAGACATGTGCAACGGACCTTCTGAATTGAACCACCTCTTGAAAAAAGAATCACTTCGCAGCAAGGGAGAGGAAGGACCTTGACAAGCTGACAGGAAGACCAAGGGAATGCCGAGCGTGTTTGCGTTGGTTTGATTGGTTTCTTGTCTCAAAACGTCGTTCTCGCCGAATACCCGTGGACCGAACAAGACCGTAGTACAACGAACTAACCAACAAACAGCCAGTGCTGCTCCGCCCCGCGCTCTAGTTCCTTCCAACCAACCTCCTCAGGCGACTGTGGCCCCTCCCTTTTCTTGGAACCTCCGCCGCCGTTTGAAAAGGCGCGACCTCCCCGAACAGTAGTGGATCCTCGTTTCAGCAAGGGATCTGTTGCACTACGAGGAGCAGAGTCTCACCTTACAGATAAATTCTGGTAATACTAAATCCCACCTATCTCAAGAACTATATTTCAAATATTTCACTGAATTCAGCATACGATAACCACAAGATGGCAAATACTATGTCTGATGATTCTGTGATCAATGCATGGTAGTCGCCTAGGAAAACACCGTTGGAGTGCTCAACTTGGGAAACCATGCATGTTCCTTCAAACATGTTTCGAAACGGGACAAATCTAAGTAAAAAACAAGCAACTAGAAATAAGAGGGTCAAACGACAACTGTATTTTATGTGTGTCTGGCGAAAGATTAGATTGATGAGCTTGTGCGATTAGAGGAAGTGCCACTATTCGAGCCTGATGCTTGGGGTGGGAAAAAGCTCAGATGAATCAGTCATCCCAGCTGTATCTCCACTAGCGCACTCAACTGTATATCCAGGAATGTGGTCAGACGTGCGTGCAGATGTGCTTCCAGGAGTGTGCCCCGTGGAGGAGGGCACCTTCACACACCGGTGCATGAGCAGGTTCACATCTGTCTCGTCCAATATCTCCTCCTGCAACAGCTCCTCTATTACATCCTCCATCGTTATTATCCCCACCACCACCTCCTCTTCCTCCTCCCCATCTTCCCCCTCTTCCTCCTCTTGCCAACCTCCTGGCCGTGCACACCTAGCCTCCTCCCCCCTCCCCTCAGCCTCCACATCTCCTTCTGCCTGTTCCACCGATCCCTCACCACCTATAAGACTCCTCTCCTCCCCTACCCCTGGTCGCACTTCCTCAGACTCTTCACTCCTGGGACTAAACCCCAACCCATTGCCATCGCCCCCCGTAACAGCGCTACCAGCACCACTCCCTTCTCCACCATCTTTCCTCCTCCGCCGCTTCCTCCCTGCACCAGCAGCTGCCTCGAGCTGAGAAACATCAACTGCCATGTCAGCAGCCACAACACTGCTGCGAAACACACCCTTCCGCCCTCCAGCAGCACCCATCGGCCCGCTGCCCTGTCGCTGTTGCACATCGATCAGCAACCTCTTGCCATCCCTTTGCTGCCTGGCAGTAAGGGCAGCGGAAACAGTGGCGGCAGTCAGCTGCTGCACACGGATCGTGGGTCCTGATAGCCCTTCTGCATGGGCCCTCGGAACTGCTGATTCACCTGTGAGACTTCCCGTGGTTAGTGCTGTAACTGGTTGAGACAGTGCAGGTGAATCTGTATCCCATGGCATGCTGGTAGAGAGCAAGGGCTCGAGAGATTGGCGCCTTGTTGGCTCGTTCGTAGTGCTGCAGCTCTCACTGTCACCTATACTAATGCCTTTCCCGGTAATATTCAGCAAACTGGCTGTCCCGGGTTGGGAGGGGTGTAAACGCAACGTGCCACCCCTAGGGACAGCAGCGCCAGCAACACCAGCAGAAGCACCGGCAGCAGCACCGGCAGAAGCACCGGCAGAAGCAGCAGCGGCCGGGGCAGCAGCAGTAGTGGCGGGGAGAGCAGCAGCAGACGAGCAAGATGAAGTGGGTGCAGCAAAACGGGACAGAAGGAAGGCCGAAGGAGGGGAGGCGAAAGGGGAAAAGTCAGGCGTGTTGGTCACACAGGTGCTGCTGGCACTCGTGATGGGACTGCTGACGCTGATAGTAGTGGCAGTAGTGCTGGTAACACCAGCCACATGAGGCACAGACACGGTCGTTGTGGTGGTGGATGTGGTGGTAGTGACTGTTGCAGTGGTAGCAGCTGCGGAGGTGGTGGCAAGGGAGTAAGTGCGCGCGGAAGCAACGACAGCAGCCATGTGTGAGTGACCGCGCTGGAACTCGTTCAGCATGTCGTACAGGGGCAGGGAGGCTTGCACTCTGGTGGGGCGTTGGGCATGGAGGGAGGGGGCGAAGGGGGGGTAGTGGCAGGGAGGTAAGTAGTCTTTTTTTGAGGCGCCTAGAAAAGTGACAGCTGTCATTTGCGAGTGGCCTCGCTGAAACTCGTTGAGCATGCCGTATAGGGGCAGGGAGGCCTGCACTGTAGTGGGGCGTTGGGAAAGGGAAGGGGGGTGGGAGGGAGGTGAGAAGTGGACAAAGGGGGGAGGTGGAACGGTGGAGGAGAATACATTAGACAAAGGGGAGCAAGGAGGAAAGTGTGGCATTGAATACATATGACGCATGGGTTGACATTGCTGATGGGTGGCTCTGCAGCGGAATGCAAGTGGGTCAGAATGCAAGTGGGTCAGAATGCAAGTGGGTCAGAATGCAAGTGGGTCGGAATGCAAGTGGGTCAGAATGCAAGTGGGTATGAGCAAAATATTGTGTTGCAGCAACCGAGCATAGATTCGGCAGCGATACCTTGGAATTCGGCGAATAGGAACCTTGCGAATCGGAGTGGCATCCTCTGGGTGGAGCGATATGAGATTCTTCACCTGAATGCCGCACACACACGCATGGATACACGCAGAGACACACGCACACACATTCGTTGTGATTCAGGCAAGTGTACACATGCAGAGCAGTAGCATGAGTAAGAGAACTACAAATAGCACAACTGATGATGCCACCAGGACCTTTCTCGCCATGGCTTAATGCCCAATCACATGCTCACCCTGCCAGCCCCACCCAACTCACCGTCTTATCAAAACAGCCCCCCTACCTCTCAAAACCCATCCAGCCCCAATATTTTATGCAATAGTTTAGGACGTACTAGCAGCAATCCAATGATGTTGTTGGGGGAGTCGTGGTACACGGGAACCCGGCTGTGGCCTCTCTTCATCAGCTGCTGCATCGTCTCCCTGCTTGCACGAGCGAACATGAGTACAGATGACGAACACGAAGCACACACTCATGCACATGCGGCACATGTACAAATGCAAGCAAATGCACGCATGCGCATGCACACACCACACACATGTGGCTGGGAAATTCAGGAAAAGAACGACCAGACTAGCATACCAGACAGCTCAAACTAGGAAAGGGGCAAGCAGCAAATCTGGACGGTGACACAAGTCACCACACGACAAGCTTTGTGTCGAGAGCCTCACACACAAATGACGCGCCTGTGGCTGAATACAATTGCCACTAATGCTCTCATGATGCCTCATGGATGATGCATGATGCATGTAGCATGATGCACGATGTAGGATGCAGCGTAAAACGCACAGGTCGAGCTTGGTGTCGACGCTGAGCGAGAAGGCGTGGTGGATGGGCGTCATGGCGTCTGCCACCGTCTTCCCTGCTAGCTCCAGCGCGCCACTGATGATCGTCGTTTCGTCCACTGTCAAGTCACCGCCCCTTCCCTCCTGCCACATGCGGAACGCCAAGCAAAGGAAGGGGTAAGGTGCAGTGGGAAATCAAAAGGGGGAGATGGAGTGGGAGCGGGGATGAAAGTCCCCTGCGCAAGCCATGGTGCCATGCGTGATGATGTGTTCTTGCACGCGATAGCCAATAGCAGCAGAGGCAACCACCCACCATCTTTGCGTGCATGTTGACAAACGCCTTGAGCTCTGCGCGGCGGTACAGCGGCTCGTTGCTTGCTCCCAGCACGAGGTCCAGTAGCTGAGTTGGGGGGTCATGGAGTAGAGATGAAGAGAAGGGGGAGAGTGGAGACGAGAGAAGGAGAGGAGAAATGGATGGATGCAGGATGGTAAACCTTTTGCATGGAAGCTTCGTGTGAATGAATCTTTCGGCTAATGACGAAATCTTCGGGATGAAAAGAACGAGTACAGAGTTCAGGAGGGAGGGGATGAGGAGATGAAAGGAGTGGCAGAAGTGTGAAGTGTGAATTGGAAAAGAAAGACTCCACTGGGCGCATGGGGTGCAGCCTGTAGAGAGTGGATAAGTGAGTCACCATGGCATGAAACTCACCTTGCTGATGGGGAGGGCGATGGGGTAGAAGAGCAGCACAAGAACCTTGACCAGAGGGGCCAGGGTAGCTCCTATGGCCAGCCCATAGCGCGAGCACACAGCTTGAGGAATAATCTGTGCGGCACCATGCACACGCAAACACGACCCCATGCACAGAGGAGGCATCAAACTTTCAACTCTCAGGCGGAAGAACTGGTACAAAAACAGGAGGCATTATGACCTCATGACAGTTTACAGAAACTACAGGCATGGAAACTCACGGATGCCAGTGTGGCACGTCGCCAACGCAAGGGGAAGAAAGCGACAGTTCTACTAGAATGACATGACTCGCTAAGGAGAATTGGGTCACCTACTAGAAGAACACGGAGCACGGACCTCGCCAAAGAGCAGGATGAGAGTGACTGAGAGAAGAATGGCGGCCCATGAAGGCACGAGCGCGTCCAGGAATATGGGAAGGGCCTGGCGGCGGGGTGCACACGCATGGCGGAAACCAGGAACCATGGGGTGAAAGGGGTTGGGGGGTGTAGGGGGTTGTGAGGTTAAACAGGATGTGGATGCTACGTGGGTGGTAGTTCAGCAAGTCGAGACGCCGAGGAGAACAATAATTGGCCTACGACAAAGATAATTCCCGACGTTGCGAGCGATGGATCTACTGACCTCCATAGCAAGAGCATTTCCGATGAGGAGAGTGCAGAGGAGCAGATGCGGCTTCTTCATAACCGGGAGTATGCTAGCTGAGAAAACAAAAAAAAACATGTTTGAATTCAGCTGAAATTAGAACCAAGGGTCACCAGTCGGCGGGAAACTTCGGACCGTCTCGGTGCGATCATTCTGCTATAGCGGAAAGCGAAATAGCGATCACTCTCATGGCAGGAGAGGAAGGTATAATCCCGATTCGGAACAAACTTGAAGTCGCACCTGCGTGCTTCTTGTCCGATTCTGACCCGCTTTGCTGTAGAACCTCTAAGTCTACGAGGCCCAACGACATGAGGCCCAGCGTCAGACCAGACATAAGTCCAGAGAAGGTGACGAGGCCAAGAATTAGGACTATGTATAGCCAGAAATTCCCGCCACAGCATTCCACGTGCATCTCCATCGCCAATCTAAAGTACCCGTGACAGCTGTTGTGCTCTCCTGTTCAAATCTGACTTGCCAGCTGCTGGAATGTGATAGATGAAACTCGTCTCTTCTGGACTTTATTCAGTCGAGCCCTGGACTGTCAGTATTGTGTGGGTGGTGGAATGCCTTTTCTGCTTGTAAGCACCTCAGGGCCCCAGGCAGCCAAGATGGCAAGAGATGACAAGGTGCAGACGGGTGGGAAGAGGATAGACGCGTCGAGAATTCCGTAAAGCCTTCGGGAATTGCAAATGGACTGCCGTTGCGGTTTGGAATAGCACGGCTTGCGTGCAACTTCCAGGGTACACTGGTATTTGGGTGCACTTGTGCCGGTTCGCAAACGAATTGGAATGGATTTTGTAAATTGCAACCATGAGGTAGCGGCCCGAAATGACGGAAAGTTCACATTGACGGCTCGTGTCATGGTGGAGGCCCTCGAGATTAGTCAGCACCAGCTCAGTCTGCCATTTTGCGGCGCGCAGTGGAGCTTTGTTGAGTGGACACGAAAAAAGGTTCCTTCTTTTTTTGCTGTTGAGTGGAAAACACGTCACTCGCTTTACATTACATGTGTCACCTTCGCGACATTGCATTACATGTGTGTGTATAGTTATGTACCGGGGCTGGCTTCGTAAAGAGTACAGAATCCCATGGTGACTCCGTTTAGGGTTCGCGTTATCAAAAGAAACCCGTCTTGAACACCAGGTCGGAACTGATCTTAGATGTTCATATGGACCATCTGAACTTGCACAATCACTTTCTTGCCGAGAACTCGTTGCATCTTCCCTAAGTCTGGGGAACATATAGGGAAACATATGATAAATACAAAATCAATGAATTCTCCAAATCGGTGTCTGGTACAACTTTAGGACATAGTTGAGGTGATAGTTTGAATATAATGAGTTTTGACAACACAACTAGAAACAGTTCTGCTCTCTTGAAGGAGCTCAAGATCCAACCACGGTTCCAACCTGCAACTTCTATCAGCATGGCTGAGCGACGTCTTGATTGGTTTGTAGACGACGCCCTGTCCCATGTAGGACCAATCGCGGGCAGTTTGTGTTGCTGGACACACATCATGCTGACCTGGCGGTTCTTTTTGCATGTCAAGGGAATGATCCGTTGCGAGCGGCGCCACTAGACCAAAACGTCGCCATCTCCCAGCAACGAGCATATTTGACCCCGTGCGACGAAAAGTGTCGTCGCTGAGAAGCGAGAAGCACACAACAAGCAACCTCCACCTTCCACATCCTCCCTGTTCAGCCAACCTCCTCCTGTCCCCCTCCCCTAGCTTATAGCTGTTGCTTGTCACTTGATCACTTGTGGTGGCTGCATAAACTGGCAATTGTATTTGGTTGCAAGCGGAGGGAGCCTCCTGATTGCCTCGCAAAAAAGGTGTTTGAGTGCGTTTCCTGGTGGTGCGCCATGGCACCCCGTTCCGCTGTACTGTTTGCTCTGGTTGCAGCGGGATTCCTTTTCACGGTACGCATTACCGCCATCTTTTTTCGAATGTGTTTTCGCAACGCAAGTTGCGATCTCGTCTCACCTGAATTTTCCCCGGTTCCGTCCGTGCGTCTAAAATTTTTGAACTCTGCGTATCAGGTCGCGCTGTCAAGGCCGTCAGGCTTCGAGGCTGAGGAGGCGAATGGCCTGCCTGGCAGCATCTTCAAGGTCCGATCCTTGTCCCCCCATCTCCTCTGCCTATTAATTCCAGCCCACCGATCTTTCTCAAGCGTCTCTCCCTTTTTTAGTTCTGTGGTCGTCCTGTCTTTACAAAGGGACATCTCGTGCCCATCCCTAATGGATCTGCAGGCTCATCTGGTAGACAGCGTGAACAAGAACCCTCGCGCCACATGGAAAGCGGGCTACAACGAGCGAGTGCATCGCCTTTCTGTAGGATTCACTCATCACCACTCCCCTGCATCCTTTTTTCTGTACTTTTTCCGATCTGCTGGCATAACATCGTATCACTTCTTCATTCAAATCGTTCTTACATATCGCTGTTTGTTGTCTTATTTTGGTCACTCCACCAGAAGCCCGCACTCAAATCGCTGGTCGGCACTTACCGCCATCCACCAGCCAGCGCTCTTCCCCGCAAGGAGCTGTCTCCCGCTGCGATGAACATCGAGCTGCCGAAGCACTTCGACGCGCGCAAGCACTGGTCGAACTGCCCGTCCATCTCTTTCGTTCGCGGTACGTTCCTGCTGTGACATGTACCAGATATGGCATGTAGTGCTTCTTGCGCTGATTGTCTATTTGTTCCCCAGCGTATGTTCGCCTTTTCCTGTCCCCTCGGTCTCACCACCTTGTGTTCTTTTCTCTTTCCCCCCTCCCCGTGCTCTACCGTCTTCCCTGTATGCATGCCTTTTCCATGTTGGATTGCTTCACCTGCACTGGGTGCTGTTGTATGATTCCTGGATTGCTGTTGCTGTTCTCCTGACCTGACCGCTGATACGCCGCAGACCAGGTGAGGGCAAGATTCTGGTTCTTGAAACTCTGTAGTTGCAGAAAGCATCTCGAAATTGAATGTGGGCGCACTATTTTGCGTAGTAGTAACTTGTTGCTGGTCTAAGCAACAGCGACACTGTTAAATTTCTCGTGTTTTCAGGGCCACTGCGGTTCCTGCTGGGCTTTTGGTGCAGTTGAGGCGCTCAGCGACCGTTTCTGCGTGACTTTTAACGAGGTCAGAGCTAGTTGTGTTCCTTCTTCGTTCCCTTCTACTTTTGAGAGATCTCTGTTTTGACACGAACCTGGTCCCGGTTATCAGGCATATGGTTTTTCCGCAACCTTAGTTGTGCGTTTACACCACCTCACCATCTTCTGCCGTTACACGGTCCCATCATTCCCCCGAGCAGACTGTGCAGCTGTCCACCAACGACTTGCTCTCGTGCTGCGCCACGTGTGGCGATGGGTGCAACGGCGGGTGGCCGTATCTCGCGTGGGAGTTTTTCACCAAGCAGGGCGTCGTCACTGAGCAGGTGCAAGGATGGAATCACGGAAGGGAGATAGAGTGATCAAGGACAGAGACAGGTGGTGGGGGGTTAAGGCGGTTGTGGGGCAGTATCGAAGGTAGTTAAAGTGGATTGGGTGGGGTTCAGTGCCTGCAGAAGCTTAACGAAGGCACCTCAGTGGGATGTGGATGTGGTTGTTTCAACGTTCTATGTTCCCCTCTCGTGCCCCCCTGTTGCTTCTGCCAGTGTGAGCCCTACTTCGATCAGCAGGGGTGCAAGCATCCCGGGTGCGAGCCGCTGATGCCCACGCCTGTATGCAAGCTGACGTGCGAGGATGGGGAGAACTGGCGCAGCAGCAAGCACTACGCCTCTGAGGCTTACCTGGTGGGGCGTTCTGTGGAGGCCATGATGACAGAGCTGCTTCTGCATGGACCCTTTGAGGTCGACTTTGATGTCTACGAGGTGAGGGAGTCTCTCAGTATCTTCATGACATTCTGTGCCATGAAGTTTGGCGTGGCACTGCGTCTGTATTGTAAAAGTGGCCTCACGTTGTTTGTTGAATGATTCTCCTTACTTGCAGGATTTCACGTATTACAAGGGCGGAGTGTATTCACACCTGGTGGGGGATATGGTGGGGGGCCATGCAGTCAAGCTTGTGGGCTGGGGCACCACTGACGATGGCGTTGACTACTGGGTATGTCCGCCTTGCGGGCATTCCCTGTCTCACATCCTCGTTTACCCTCGTTACTTTGTGTAGTCCGCCTGAGGTCCTGTGGTGCGAGGCTTACTTGGAAATGTTTTTCTTCGTCTTGTCTTGTGCAGATCATTGCCAACTCGTGGAACCGAAGCTGGGGCGAGGTTAGTGTTCATTACTTCCAGTACCCATTTCTCTAATTCAGTACTACCGTAGAACTAGCTTGCGTTGCCTGGCTTGAAGCCACTTGATAGCACTCTTGGCTTGGTGTCTCGTGTTTTAATATCCTTGCTGGCCCTGCTCGCAGGATGGTTTTTTCCGCATCCGCCGAGGTACCAACGAGTGTGGCATCGAGGAAGATCCAGTTGCAGGCACCCCTTCCAGGACTCCGGCTCCTTCCCCTGGGGGACTCTTGGAGGGGGTCGCCACAGAGTAGATTGCCCAACACATGCGGAAGAGTGCAGATCGTGGATAGGATTTTTGATCGTGTGGATGGATTGTAACTGCACGTTACGTGAATGTTTCGGCTTCAAATTCTGTTTGTGAAAAAACCCTTGGGGCCATGTACTGGAATTAGAATCATGGGTACGCCAAGTAACATTAGTATGGGGGATGGAATTTGATTTGGATGAGTAAACTATTGCGCACTGTGTTTGCAGTATCAAACACGCGATTGTTCAAACACACTGTGGCGTCAATTGTAATATCGAAGCCATATGCAGGATGTTCGGGAGTGAGGCAGGGCAGCCGTCGTCGTCCGTGTCGCGTAGATCAGCCCACACGGGTCCGCTCACACGTCCCCTACTCCCTCAACGCAGAAGTTGCAGCAAGTTATTCGGACCGCGACGACTTACATGACTCTGTTACACCCGGCAGGTCGGATAGCGTGCACCACCGCCCGATCTTGAATGTCGAACGGTCATTAGAACGTCACACGCACACCCTATGTCCACTGTTTTGCTCAAACCACCCAACCGCGCCCTTCTAAACCGCCACTCAAACATTTCTCAAGCTAGCCCAACCCAGCCAAAACGCAATCAAAACCAAAACCAAACTGGAGCCACTCCAGCACGGCAAATTCTCATCGCGATCTGCTCCTCCTTTCCCCCAACCCCAACCATATCATGCTGTGCTGACATGACACCCACTCACAACAACCACAAGTCTGCCTCTTGCCCCAATCTCCCAGTCTCCACCTCTTGCGGGTTTGTCTGACTGCTCTTGGTGTCCTGAATGAAAGTAGCTAGTCGTGCAGCTCACGGGTATAGGTAGGTAATTCTCATGCCGGAGAATAGAACTCAGAGGCGGTTATGACGCAGGTAGAGGGCGCGCATAAAAGCGCGACGGGGATTGCGTCGAAACTGGGAATCGTTTCACTCATGCGGGTGCCTACTAGTTTCCGTCGAACCATAGACAACTCCAACTCCAACCTTAAGATCGACCCATGCGCGCAACGCGCCGACGCAAGCAGTTGGCGCTCGGGTGAACGAAGCTCCGTAGTAGCACCAGCAAAGTTACGACGAGCGGCGCTCCCAACTGCCGATTGTGGGCCTGGTGTGCAGCACGAGAGAACATCATCTCATTGCTCCGTCGATAACCAAGATCCCGCGCGACAGGCTTGTAGTAGGGACTCGCAACTGGCTTTGCGGTTTGAGAGGAGTGCGCGGTACGAGCAGTACGAGCCCATCCAATTCTCCCAACTGCCAGCCGAGCGGGTGATGCAGGCGCCGCATCGAACCCCATCCGCCCATGCGCCGCCTTTGAGCGACGTGCCGCGTCCACTGTCCGCAGTTGAGACCTCTTCTCGTATTGCATACAATACGGACAGTCTTCTTTCCCCAAGTACCGTCGAGTCACGGAGGTTGGCTTCTTGCGCGTCACCCCGGCCTCTAACGGCTAATTCCTGCTTCCCCGCCTCCCCCGGCCCTTGCTTGCGGGAAGAAGGGTTTGGGTCTGGAGGCGCGGGCGGAGTGGACAGCGGAGGGGTTGTGTGGGGAGAAGACGAAATCACGCGGGATGGAGGCGGGGCGCGCACGGGCCGCACCTCTGCCGCCGCCACCGTCGCCGCAGGGAGTGGTGTAGCGCGAGAAAATAACTGGAGTGCGAAAGATTTTTCGAATCGCTATCCTTGGGAGGATTGGGAGCATCGATGTCAGGAATCTCCCTGCGAAATGCTTCGAGCTGTGACGTCAAGCAGCAGCAGCAGCAGCAGCAGCAGCAGCAGCAGCGGCAGCGGTACCACCACCACCACCACCCGCAGCCGCCGCAGCAACAGCAGTACAACGGCGTCGCGGAGAAAAGCCGTGAGAGATGCATCAGCAACAGCGGTAGCGGTATCGTCATCTGCTAGCGCTACTACATCGCGCCGAACCATCACTCGTAACTCCAGTAGCACTGAAGGGCCGTACGAAGGCGAAGCGAGCATGATTCGGTCGCGCCGCGTGGCCGCGACCGTGTCCGACGAGTCGGCAGCAGCGTCCGACGAGTCGGCGGCATCCGGCGAATCGGCGGCATCCGACGAGGATGCATCCGGCGACGAGTCCGCGCCGCCACTGAGAGTGCAGCAGCAGCGCCTCGCTGCTGCAGCAGCACCCTATGCCAGTGTCTCCGTATTTCCCGAGGTAACCACCGCTCCCTTCCCGCGCATCCCGCCACTCTCCTCGCTCGCCCGCTTCCCCTCCATCGAAACCCAATCGCCTTCCGCGCAGAGCCCCGGCAGTCGCTCACTCGCCTCCGCGCGCGCAGACGCGCGCTCCCCCCGCAATCCAGCGCAGTCCCGCTTTCATCTATCCGCGCAGCCCCAACACGAGCAGTGGCGGCCCCCGCTCCCAGCCGCCGCTCCTCCTCCGCCCGCTGGCGCAGCTCCAGGGTACGTCAGCAGCAGCGGCGACCGCGCTGTTCCTGCTGCGTATCACCCTCTTGCGTTCAGTGATACGCTGCAGGGTTCCGTGCCGCCCGCTGCTTCTACTGCTGCGGGTGCTGCTGCGGCTACGAGGAGCGACGGGAGTGTGGCAAAGCGTGTGATGGAGTTGGAGCGAGCGGGAATGGCTGAGAGGGCAGCACAGGAAATGGTTGCACCTGCAGTAGCGGCAGCAGCTGCAGCAGCGGACAGAAGACCCGTTGTGCGAGCAGGATGCGGTGATGGTGGCTATTGTGATGGGGGAGGTGGGGAGGATGGGGAGGAGGAGGAGGATGAGGAGGATGAGGAGTACGAGGCCCTTGATTGCTCCTTTGCCGCATGGGAGGGGCCACAGGCAGTGAAGCAGATCACACCCGACAAGGGCAGTGCTGCTGCTCATGCTGATGCTGCTTTTGCTGGCATTCCTGGTGCTCGTGATACCAATCCAGCAGCATGGCGTCACCATATGGAGCACCCACTAACTACCGGCAGCAGCATTGGCAGAAGTGGCGGCAGCAGCGGCAGTGGCAGCAGCGGCGGCAGCAGCAGCAGCGGCAGTGGCAGCAGCGGCGGCAGCAGCAGCAGCGGCAGTGGCAGCAGCGGCGGCAGCGGCGGCACATTGCCCATTGGGTCCTCCTTCGCCTTCAGTCACCAGCCGGTGTGCCAGCCACGGTATTCCCACCCTGGCCTTCCCACCCCAAGCACGCTCCCCATCCCAGGGAACGTGTGGGAGGAGAGTGAGAGTGAGGCCCAAGCGGAGGACGAGCCTTCATCCTTCACTTTCCAACCTGTTGTCAGCAGCACCGCCGTCCCTGCTGCTGCTGCTCCTGGCGCCGGTGGAAAGGCCGCAGGTGAGCCAGGGAGGGGCAGCGACGGCCGGGCAATATTAAAGGAAGAGAGGGGTTCGAGAGGAAGAGTCACAGCAGGGGGGAAGTTCACTGGTCGGGAACTGTCCCCGTTCCGCTCCTCGTACGCTGGCCGGGAGACATCGCAGTTCTACCCGTCTTCTCCTCCTCCTCCTCCTCCTCCTGCTACCCGTGCACGCGCTTCCCCACGTGCTGCTCACCTCCGGCCTTCCTCGCCTCTGCATCGCTACCCTTCGTCCCCTTTGTACCTGCACTCGGAAGTGGGCCTCAACCAGGAGCAGTGGCAGCAACAGCAGATACTGCAGCAGCAGCAGCAGCAGCAGCAGCAGCAGCAGCAGCAGCAGCAGCAGCAGCAGCAGCAGCAGCAGCAGCAGCAGCAGCAGCAGCAGCAGCAGCAGCAGCAGCAGCAGCAGCAGCAGCAGCAGCAGCAGCAGCAGCAGCAGCAGCAGCAGCACCAGCAGCAGCAGCAGCAGCAGCAGCACCTGCACCACCAGCATCACCAACATCACCAGCAGCAACAGCATCAGCAGCTGTTGCTGCATTGCTATCCATCGTCTGCCATGACCCTCCTTGCTCCCTCGTCCCCCCGGCCTCGCCTCTCACAGCCAGAGTCCCCGTACCTGAGTAACATCACCCGCCCCATCAGCAGCGGCGGCAGCATCAGCAGCGGCGGCACCATCAGCAGCGCCGGCAGCATCAGCAGCATCGGCAGCAGCTTTCTCGACGCGAATGGCCTTTGCAACGGAGCGTGCTTGTTGTATAACAGGAACTCGGCAAGCAACCACGGTTGTGCTTTCAGCGGTACCGGTACCACCAGCAGCAGCAGCAGCAGCAGCAGGCTGGACAACGGTTGTGCTTTCAGCGGTAGCACCAGGCAGGAGAATCTGAGCAGAACGAGCAGTGTGAGCAGCATGGGTGGTTGGAGCATTAACAGCAGCGCCAGCAGCAGATTCAGCCTCAGCAGTTACAGCAGCAGCGGATATAGCAGCAGAGGGTCGAGTGGGAGTGTGAGTGGGCATAGCCAGAGCAGTGGTAAGGGGGGACATCCCTTGGGGCAGAGTTGCTCAGCGTACGGGTATAGCTCCCGGTCGGAATCGATGCGGGTTGCTTCTCTCATTGCTGCGGCTGCTATGGGCGCTGGTAACAATCAGTCTCCACGCACCCAGTTGGCAGGGTTTAGAAAGTGACCTTGTACAGTTAGTTTTCCTTTTTAGTAAAAATGGATGTTTAGGCGGTATTTATTTAACCGTATGACAGTGAGTTGCCAAACCGGCCGAAATGTATGACAGAAGTTTTATCTAACCCTGCAGAAGTTACTTGATGTGAACACCATACAGAACCGCTTTCATTGAACTGACACATTACACATGACTCAACCTTAGAACATTTCCATAATCTACAATCCCACCCACTATGGAGTACATGACTCAACCTTAGAACATTTCCATAATCTACAATCCCACCCACTATGGAGTACAGAAGTTCTACAAACTACGGTACTATCTACTGTCTGCACATGAATTCTACCACCTTTACCCCCTACCCTCCCTTCACAACATCTTACCGTAATCAACCATCGTCCGCACCACCCACAAAACTTCCATCACCCATTCATCCATAGTACTCGGCTAACACAGGGGTCTGGATTTGGGCAGCGGCAGCTCCCCTTTACCCCCATCTTCCACTCCTCCACCCTTCTCCTCCCCAGCTTTCACCTCACCCTTCCCCTCCCTCTCTCCCACCCTTTCTCCCACCCTCTCTCCCTCCCTCTCCATCTCCCTATCCCTCGCGCGTGCCTTGTCCTCATGGGCCTTCATGCGCACCACTGTCTCCTTGATGTCTCGCACCAGCCAATCTGCTAGCTCGCGAGAGAAGTCCTCCCGCACACACACTCGCAGCACCGTCACATCCTGGCCACCGAGCGGGAGCGTAAAGGAGGAGAGGAGATTAGCGTGTAAGCATTTTAAGTCGGTCTCAAAAGTCACCTCGTGAAAAGTCCTTTCTCACACACACTCGCAGCACCTTCACATCCTGGCAACCAGGAGCATGGTAAACCAGTTGGGGCGGAAGTGGAAGTGAGTTCTGCTTGTAGGTTTCCTACAAGGACCAGAAGCGATATTAACGAGGGGTTGAGTGAGTAAGGGTGCCAGACAGTGAGCGAGGCAGCAGCGAGGGAACACAGAGGCAGCAAGTGATGAGAATGAAAGAGGCGACATCACGGGCGGCTACGTAGATTGTGATAGAAGAGGAGGAATGGCATGAAAAAAGGAAGGGGAAAGACACGATGCATGCACGCATGTACGCACACTATGCAAACTTCACCCAGTTCCAAAACCCATCCCCATCCCTCTCCCCATGCCTTACTCCTACCAGCATGCCCCTCCCTATGCCCCTCCCCACGCCCCTCCCAACACCCGTCCCCATGCCCCACGGCGCACATGCATGTTGGGCGGCATCTGGTAGGAGGGCAGGATCCACCCGTGCCTCCTCAGGTTGAGGTTACTTGGGTGACTTGTGAGTCAGACTCAAAAGTCACCGCACGCCCCTCCTTCCCATGTCCCGTGGCTCACATGCATGTTGGGCGGCATCTGGTAGGAGGGCAGGATCCACCCGTGCCTCCTCAGGTCGTCACTCAACTCCCTCTCTGACAGGTGCACGTACGGGCTGCACGGGCAGAGCAGGAGGGCACAGTACCAGGGAACATCATGCAGGAAGAGGCAAGAGGGCAAGAGGATAAGATTCACGATTCATAATCCCACATTCAGGAGAGCCAACACGCCACACTCAAACGCGCACTCGTGTCGTGAGAAGTCCCCTCAAACGCGCACTCGTGTCGTGAGAAGTCCCCTCAAACGCGCACTCGTGTCGTGAGAAGTCCACTCAAACGCGCACTCGTGTCCTGAGAAGTCCACTCAAACGCGCACTCGTGTCCTGAGAAGTCCACTCAAACGCGCACTCGTGTCGTGAGAAGTCCCCTCAAACGCGCACTCGTGTCGTGAGAAGTCCCCTCAAACGCACACTCGTGTCGTGAGAAGTCCCCTCAAACGCGCACTCGTGTCGTGAGAAGTCCCCTCAAACGCGCACTCGTGTCGTGAGAAGTCCCCTCAAACACGCACTCTTGTCGTGAGAAGTCCACTCAAACGCGCACTCGTGTCGTGAGAAGTCCCCTCAAACGCACACTCGTGTCGTGAGAAGTCCCAAGAGTGATTCAACCAGCATGTTGCCCTACCACCCTCAAACTCACTCACATATTGCCTCAATCTTGGGGTGCCCCTAACAACAAAGCCCACCCCCTCTACCTCCCCACATGCACTGCACACCCCTTCTAGCGTACGTACGAGAGCGGTTGGAAGCGTACCGTAACAGAAAACACCCCCCCCCCCAACCCTCCCTCCCTCCTACCTCCCTCCCTCCCTTCCAGCGTACGTACGAGTGCGGTTTGAAGCGGAAGGCGATGAGAGAGGGATGCCCATGTGAGTGTCAGATAGAATGTGGAATCGAATCAGTTCAAGACGCGTAAATGCACCCCCTCCCCCCCCTCCTACCCCCGTCCTACCCCCCTCCCAACACGTACGAGTGCGGTTTGAAGCGGAAGGCGACGAGGGGGATGCCCATGTTGGTGTCCGATAGAATGTGGAACATGCCCGTTGCCTCCAGCTGCTCCCGCAGCGAGTCCGCCACCTCTGCACAGTTCTCCATCACCCGCCGGTAGCCCTGCATTGCAATTTGTGGAGGGAGAGAGCTGAGACGATTTTTGAGGCGCCTAAAAAATCGCTGGTAGTCCTGCATTGAAGCTGATGGAGGGAGTGAGCTGAGAGAGTTGGTAAGTCGTTTCTTTGAGTCGGCTCAAATCGACTTACTACACAAAGTTATTGGAGGGAGAGAGCTGAGGGAGTTGGCGAGAATGAGAGGCATAATCCAGGCAACATTGTCAACAGGTAGGTTCAGCGAGAAGGTAGGACCGTTGCTGAAGGAGGCGAGGCGAATAAGTTGCTTTGCTGCGTTACCTTGAAGCCGAGGCGAAGGGACTGGTAGTACTGCCCCACGATCTGCGCCGCGCCTGATAGACTTTTGCGTCGACTCAAAGGTCATCAGGAGCGCAGGCGAAAAGGGTTGATGCATTACCTTGAAGCCGAGGCGAAGGAACTGGTAGTACTGCCCGACAATTTGCGCTGCGCCTGATTGATGACACCACATGGCGGGGCGGGGCGTGGCGTGGCGTGAAGGGATACCAGGTAGCATCACACGGGATGATGTTGAGCAAGTGAGAAACGCAGAGCACAAGCGAGCACACACCCGCACACACACAGGCACACGCCCACACACACGCGCACAGACACCGATGATGAGTCGGGAAACGAGTCGGGAAACGCGATACCTCTCAAATCTTCCTAAGAAACAACCAAGAGACTACCTCAAACGCTCCCTACCTACCCTCCAACCGCCTCCAACTTCTCTAAAACGAGTTGGTTACTTAGAGCCAAAAGCCCATCCTTCACCTCGTTCCCCCACCTTACTACTATCACCCACACGCACCTCGGGAGAAGTTGGGTGTCGACTCGACACGCATCTACACGCCCGCAGGCTGTCCGTCCCTCGCCTAAGTAGTAGTCGACGTGGTAGGTAGATGATGCCTCACCCCATTCCTCACCTACATCACCCCGTGCCTCCTCCTCACTCCCACACCCCGAACACCCCCCTCAAACACACACCTCGCGAGAGAGCGAGAAGTTGAGAGTGAACATGGGCTGGGGCTGGTTCTCGCCCTGGGAGACGTCATCATGGTAGATTAGATGATACCTCTCCCACGTACAACCTGCCCCCCGATCCCACACCGCAGTGACACTTGAGTCGACTCAAAAGTCAGAAGATACCTCTCCCATGTACAACCTGCCCCCCCATCCCACACCGCGCGTCACCCACTGCAACCCTCACTCTCCCCACCCCAAACACGCACCTCGAAAGAAGTTGAAAGTGAAGGTGGGCTGGTCCTCGCCCAGGTAGCCCACGCGGTAGATGCTGTATCACCCACCTACGCTACACCTCCCTCCTTCCTCGACCCCACCCCCATCCCCAACCCCAAGCCCAACTCCAACCCCAACCCCATCCCCACCCCCCGTGGGCACCTCGGGAGAAGTCGAGAGTGAACGTGGGCTGGCCCTCGCCCAGATAGCCCACGCGGTAGATGCTGCATCACCCACCTAACTTCACCTTCCTCCCCCCCACCCCCATCCCCACCCCTTGAACCCCACCACGCACCGCGGGAGAAGTTCAGGGTGAATGTGGGCTGGTCCTCGCCCAGGTAGTCCACGTGATAAACAATGCATCACCCATTCCCTCCCACCGTCCTCCTCCCCCCCCCCCCCCCCCCCCTCCCCCCCCCCCCCCCCCCCTCCCCCCAACACACACCGCGGGAGAAGTTGAGCGTGAACGTGGGCTGGTCCTCGCCCAGGTAGTCCACATGATAAATGAGCTCCTGCGGCAGGCAGCGGTCGTTGCGGAACAGCAGCCATGCGATGCCCGGGTACGTGAGCCCGTACTTGTGCCCGCTCACACTGATGGACAGCACGGATGGCAGGCGGAAGTCCCACGCGAGGGACGGGTACAGGAACGGCGCGATGAAGCCGCCGCTCGCTGCATCCACGTGGATTGGGACCTGCCAGCTGAAGGAGGGAGGAGGGGAGGGGGAAACGGGGAGAGGGGGAGAGGGAAAGAGGGAAAGAGGGGGAGAGGGGGAGAGGGGGAGAGGTGGAGAGGGGGAGAGGGGGAGATGGGGAGATGGGGAGGGGGGGAGAGGGGGAGAGGGGGAGAGGGGGAGATGGGGAGAGGCGAAGAGGGGGAGGGGGAGGGGGAGGGATGAATGGGTTGGAAGGGTTGGGAGTGGTAGAGGAGTGGAGGAGGAGGGGAACGTGTCCTTGTACAAAAGACAATCTTGTCACAAGTGACTCACGACTACCCATTACTCCCTCCCCCCCACCCACCCTCCAGCCACAACCCACACATCACCCATCCCCACCCATCACCCACCCGTGCGGCAGTTCCAGCGCCCTCAGCGCCTCATCCAGTCCCTGCACGTCCTCGAAGTGCCCCGTGTACTTGCTCCCCAGAATAGGCACCACTCCAATAGTGCTCCACCCATCCCGCCTCCTCCTCCCCCTCATCCCACTTCCCTTCAATCGAAACACAGGCACCCCATCGTCATATCATAACACCCAGCATTCCTCACCCATCACATCAATCACCAACCCACCAGCATTCCCCAGCACCACTTAGCACCACCCAACGCCACCCAGCGCCACCCAGCACCACCCAGCACCACCCAGCACCACCAACCACCCACCCGTGCGGCAAGTCCAGCTTCCTCAGCGCCTCGTCCAGTCCCTGCACGTCCTCAAAGTGCCCCGTGTACGTGCTGCCCAGAATAGGCACCACTCCAATAGTCCTCTCGTCGCACAGCTTCACCGCCTCGCCCACGCGCAGGCACGGACACTCGGGCGTGACGGGCACCATGCGCAGCTCCACGTCGAAATAGTTGGCAAACTTTTCCACAACCACGTGCGTGTTGGCGCCCACTACTAGGTTTGGGCTGTCTGTGGGAAGGCCCTTGTCCTTTCGAAACTTCACCCACCTCCGCTTCATTGCCAGGCCTGGGGGCACGGAGTTGCGGAGAGGGGAGAGGGGGAGGAGGGGAGGAGGGGAGGAGGGGAGAAGGCAGGGATGAACAACCCCGCAGCATCACACACGCCACCACATAAACCACCCGCCCCCCCGCCCGCCCCCCCCCCTCCCTTCCTTCCTCCCACGACACAAAATGCACCCCACGGCATGGTGGATCACCTCACCTGCGGGCATGATGGCCTCGCTGCTGCCGAGAAGTTTTGAGAATGGTCAAAAACCACATCACTCCCTGCAACGGCATGGTGAAGTGAATCACCTCACCTCACCTGCGAGCATGATGGCCTCGCTGCTGCCGATGGTGGCCGTGCCCACGGCCGTCTGCCCCTCGGTTAGCGGCGCGTGGTACAGCCGCGCCAGCATGTTCAAACACAGCTCCTGCCAGCCCAGCAGCCCCGGGGGGGAAGGGGGAGAGGAAGTGGAAGGGGAAGGGGAACGGGAAGTGGAACGGGAAGGGGAAGGGGAGGGGAAAGGGGAGGGGGAGGGGGAGGGAGAGGGGGAGGGTAAGGGGACGAAGACATATGGTGCAATGGAAGTGACACATGAGTGGGGAGCGGAAAGGTGGGAGGGGGAGAGGAGGGAAGACAAAAGGGATGGACGGTGTCAACCGTCCCAGCCCGCCATCCCTGCTCCAGGGATGGACGGTGTCAACCGTCCCAGCCCGCCATCCCTGCTCCAGGGATGGACGGTGTCAACCGTCCCAGCCCGCCATCCCTGCTCCAGGGATGGACGGTGTCAACCGTCCCAGCCCGCCATCCCTGCTCCAGGGATGGACGGTGTCAACCGTCCCAGCCCGCCATCCCTGCTCCAGGGATGGACGGTGTCAACCGTCCCAGCCCGCCATCCCTGCTCCAGGGATGGACGGTGGGAGGGGGAGAGGAGGGAAGACAGAAGGGATGGACGGTGTCAACCTGTAGATCATCCCCTTCTCTTCCTTCCCTCGCAATCCCGCGTCCCCCCCCCCCCCCCCTCCCTCTTCCCCCTCTACCCCTTCCTCTCTCCTTTCTCTCCCCTCCCCCCTCCCTCCCCCCAACCTGCATGTGCGCGCAGGCGGGGTACTCGGCAAGTTCAATGGCGTTTTGTTGAGCGAGGCGATCAACCCATACATGCGCGCCCTGAACACCCCCGCCCTTCCCTCCCCTCCCCTCCCTTCCCCTCGTCTCTCCCCTTCCCGTCTTCAACCTGCCTCCATCCCCGCTCCGCGCACCTGGATGTGCGCGCAGGCGGGGTACTCGGCGAGATCGATGGCGTTCTTGTTGAGCGACGCGGTCATGAGGCGCTCGGCGTCGGGCTCCATCCACGTGGTGACGAACGACGCCAGGTTGAGGCGCGGCTTGCCGTCCATCTCTAGCATGTCCGCCACGATCTGATACGCCACCTCGCGCGGCATCTCGTCCGCCGGGAACACGTGCCTGACGGGGGGGTTGGGGGGGACGGGGAGAGGGGAGGGCGGGAAGAGCGCGAGGGGGGAGTGGGGTAAAAAGGGAGGGGGACGGGAGGGAGGCGTGGGGGAAAGGAAGCGTTGAAGGGGAGGGAGGTGGGGGAAGAGGGGAAGGGAGGAAGGAGGGGGGAAAAGGGAAGGTAGAGGTAAGCAGGGGTTGAGGCGCGGCTTGCCGTCCATCTCCAGCATGTCCGCCACGATCTGATACGCCACCTCGCGCGACATCTCGTCCGCCGGGAACACGTGGCTGACGAGGGGGAGAGGGGAGAGTGGGGGAGGGCGAGCGCAGGGGGAGCGAGGGAAAGGGGAGGGGGAGAGGGGGGAGACGTGGGCGAAGTGAAAGCGTGGGAGAGGAGAAGCGCAGAAGGAGTGGGGACGCGAGAGGAAGAGAACACGAGCAGCGGGAAGGCGGGAAGGCGGGAAGGCGGGATGAAGCTAAATTGGTGCTTTGGATCGTTGAGGCGTGAGTAGAATCCATGTGCTCGTGCGCGTGCGCGTGCGCGTGCGCGAGCGAGAGCGAGTGACGCGCGGGGCGGAGTACCGTTTGACGGGTTGCTGCATGTATCGGTTGGCGAAGACGGGCTCCAGGACCGCGTCCTCCTTGTTGCGATCCTCCGACGTCGTGCGCGACAGCACCATGATGATGGCGATGAGCACGAACGAACGCACGCGACGACGAAACTCGACCAACGGCGATCGCGGTAGAGACAGATGATAGCGGTGACGACGACGACGGCGGCCGACGGAGCCGGATTGTCGACGCGAATCGGTGGGAGAATAGGGACGTGGAACCTCAGCCGGATTGTCGACGTTGCAGGTGGAAAGATACAAGACAGATAGGAACATATAGATTCGAGAGGCGGGTCGTTACTCGAAGCAGGTATCTCAGAAGATCACGCAGACGCTCTCGCTTTCAGGAGGTGCGATGCGATCCATCGAGGGTATGGCATTGGCAGGTCTGTGTGTGTGCGCGAGGGGAGAAGCGCGAGCCGCGCAAGGCCGAGATGAGAGAGCGAAGCGCGCGGAGAGACAAGAATACGCGGTTCGTAGAGTAGCGAGAGAGGCCATGTCTTCATTGCATGGCACCCCGCACATGTCCCGATGTTGAAGGGATGAAGCAGGCGCATTCTAGTGACGAGACGAGCAACGAAGACGTTAACGTTATGTAGTCTGCACGGCGTGACTTCCTCCCGGCGGACAGGGGGGCGCCGCGTGGCGGCGCGAGGGGCGCCGCATGGGCCCTGCAACGCAGTGCCGTGCATGGCGCTGCTGCCAACAGGAGTTCGGCGTGCAGACTTGCTTTGCGCCATGGAAATTCAGGGGCAAAAACGGAAATTTGTTGTGTGGTGTGGAGGTGCAAAACAATTCCTGTAAGAGCAGCTTCGTTAAGAGGCAGAACACGAGAAACGAAACCTGTTCGCGATATACGTAACAGGCCCATACATACTTCGTTTTGCGGGAGCGGAGCTTCTCCGCTGCCGTGCACTGCTCTTGTGCATCGCTTTCACTTCCCTTGGCACCTCTACCGGTTCGCCACCCGCATTTCCCGCCGAGCCCCAGACTCCAGACTTCTCAGCCTAGCCTTCCCAGCCTAGCCTTCCCAGCCAAGCCTAACCAGGTAGTTTCTAACCTTCGACGAGCCCCTCGAATCCAACAATGCCGCGACTATGCCTTTCCGTCTCCTCGACGCACGGCACCAGTTGCGCGTGGCCTCCCGTTCTCCACAAGCCGCCGCGACGGCCGTCGCACGCGTGCTTACGTGTCCAGCCTTCGCAGGCCTATTATGGCAACTGCACGCTTCGCATTTTGAACGACCGTTGTCCCTCATCCAGTGGCAGGGAGACACGTTGCGTACAGTGTGAGCTTCGGCCAAGCAGCAGTGGCAGCAGCAGCTTCAGCGGCGGCGGCGACGGCGGCAGGGGCAGATGCGGCGGCGGCGGTAGCGGCAGCGTCGGAGCAAGCGCGACATCTAGGGAGGCGACAAGCGAACCCGTAGTAGCCCCGAACACGCCACGCCCACGTGGCGGCGTACCGCTTTCTGCGCCTACGATCGCGGACATCGAGGCAGCGGCAGCGGCGCGCGGCGTGCGACTAGAGATCGAAACGACCGGTCCCTTCTTCACCATCTCCGCTTACGACGCCACCGGCGCGTTCGACGACCGCCGCGACGATGGGCGCGAGGGGCAGGGGGGCGCGCGGACGAGCGGGGGAAGCTCGGGGAGAGATGCGCGCGGAGGCAAGCCGCGGTTGCTGGGACGAGCGCAGGGCTGCATCCGGCCGTTGCTGTGGGGCTCTAACGGCAGCAGCAGCAGCACCAGCGGCAGTAGTAGCAGTGGTAGCAGCGGGAGCGCGGGGTTGTTCCCCCCGCCGCTGCTGCACCTGGACAGCGTGCGCATGGCGCGCATAGACGACGCGCGGCAGCGCGGCGTGTTCGGCGCGGCGCTGCTGATCGGCGCGCTGGTGTTCCGGTGGGCGCTGGACACTCACGGGTGCCACGTGGCACAGCTGCTGGCCATTGACGACACTGACGAGTACCACGCTAAGGTAGGGGGGTTTAGCGGGGGGGGGGGGGGGGGCAGAGGGAAAGGGAGGGGGAAGGGGAAGAAGGACGTGGGGGAGCGGGATGGGGATGGACACCCACGGGTGCCGCGTGGCACAGCTGCTCGCCATCGACAATACTGACGAAGGGGATGCGGATGGAATGGGGGATGGTGGTGCTGGCGATGTCGGTACTGGAGGTGCTGCTGCTGGTGCTGGTGGTTGTATTGTATGGAGGTATGAGTAGACCTGCTGTGCAACTGGTTGTTGTGAGGCCGCTGTAATGGAACCAGGGCACCGGAGTCAAGGAGGAAAGAGGGCATCATTGCACCCTGCTCTGCTGGTCCATCCATCTCACACCAAACCCTCACCTGCTGCACTCCTCTTTACCAACCAACCCAACCCAACCCAACCCAACCCCCTCTCCCTCACCTCAAACCCAACCCTCCCACCCTCACCACCGCCCCTTTCCTATTCTCAACACGCCGCAACCCCCGTTTTCTCCCCTCCCGCCCCCCTTCCCTCCGTTCCCCCTCTCTCCCGCCCCTCTTTTTCCCCCACGCTGTGTCACTTGCCCACTTTCTCTCCCTGTGTGTGTGTGTCCGTCATAATAAAGAGCAACTGGTGATGCACTCGGTATTCGCGGCTGGGCATGCGCACGGTGTTTAAGGCGCCCACAGATTCTTCTCCCACTGTGGCACCGTCCCCCCTTTCCCTGCATCCCGTATGGCAGCTCGTGAAGTACTATTCCCGGCTGGGCATGCGCGCGGTAAGGGTGGTGGAGGGGGGGTCGCTGGGGGATGTGCCGCACATGCTGGTGTGGGGGGGCGCCGGCACGCTCATGGAGGGCGAGATTCTGCCGCTGCTCACCCGATGGGCCCGGGTCTTCCCTCCCGCTGCTCCTGCTCCTGCTCCTGCTGCTGCTGCTACTGCTACTGTACCTGCTGCTAGTGCTGCTGCTGCGACTGGTGCTGCTTCTGGGAGGAGTGGTGTTTCGAGTGACTGACTGCTTGCCGACTGTGCTTGCTGGGTGGTGGTGGGAGAGACACTCGCCTCTCCTGCTATGTTTCCCTCTGATTCTGCTGCTGCTGCTGCTGCTGCTGTGTAGCATGCGTGTGTGTAGAAGCATTGAAGCAGCAGCTGTTCAAGGCAAGACATTGGTGCATAGCTGCCGCATTCTGAAGTCCCTTGTGCCACCCTGCCACCCTTCTGAAGTCCCTAAGCCCACTGCTGCTGCCATGCCATCCCAAGCTATCCCATGCCACCCACCCACTCAGAGAACACACTGGGCTTGAGGGTCTTAATGGTGCACCAGGCTGGTGCTTTTGCTGTGCAGCACTGAAAAGAACTGGATATTGTCATGGTGTTCGTTCCAATTACTACATTATTAGTGATTATTCTCCTACCATATTGAAGTGCAACCCGGCATAAGCTCAAACGTTATCTCATGCAATACAGGAGTTGAGGCTGCCTGCCAGAGCCCTGGCTGGACTTAGGTTGGTGGGAGGGAGTAGTTATACACCTTGGCCACCCTTGGCCACCCTTGGCTATCATATTGTTGTTGTACAATCCCGATCACTCTGGGTACACAACAACACACACTCCACCTAATACTCTTCTCAGATTGCGCACTCCACACAACTCCACTGACAAATCACTCTGGGTACAGGGTAGCATCACCCCACCCACCCACAAACACAGCGTCAGCTCACTGTGTTGTCAAGTGAACACGCTCACGCACACACGCAGGTGTGCATGCTTGCCCAGGCCATCCACCATCCACCATCCATGCTCATGCACCAACTGCACGCCCGCCCGCATCGCACGCACTCAAGCTAAGCCATCCACTCATCATCCTCCTCTGCCTCCAAACCCTCCTCCCCCCAGCTCTCCGCCGCGAAATACGGCGCCAGCAGCCGCTGCACCTCCTCCTTCCTCGCCCTCACCACACTCTCCCACCCTCCCTCCCCATCCTCATCCCCCTCCCCCCCTTCCTCCTCCCCATCTCCCACCTCACACGCGTGCAGCAGCGCGGTTCTCACGCCCTTATCCGGCCGCATACCCGCCTCCTCCACCATCTCCCTGAACGCAGCAACCGCCCCGTCGAAATCCCCGCAGTCCCCGTGCGCCGAAATCAGCACAGAGTACGACACGACAGTCGGGTCAATCCCGGCCTCCAGCATTCGTTCAAACGTGCTCACCACCTTGCTCAGGTCCCCTTCGCGCCGGTACCCGTTCATCATGATGTTGAACGTGCTCGCGCTCGGACTCACGCGCCCCCCATCGCCAAACTCCACCCCCCACCGGCCCCCTGTCTTCCCCCGTGTCCCCGCCCCCGTGTCCGCGGCACCTTCTCCTCCAGACCAGGACTCCTTTGCAAGTAGCGTGTTCCCTTGCCCTTCCTCCATGCTTCCCCCTCCTCCTCCTGCTGCTCCTGCCGCTGCTGCTGCTGCTGCTGCTGCTGTTCCTGGGAAGGGTGCCTCGCCGCGGTCCTGCGCGTCCCACCACATCTGGCGCAGCAGCTGCTCTGCGCGCTCCATGCTGCCCGCTCGCGAGTGAGCCGCCAGCAGCGCGTTGAACGTCGCCTCTGATGGCAGGTTGCTGGTAGGGAGAGGGGAGGAGCAATTACCGGGGGAGAGAGAAAGCGGGAAGGAGGCGGGGAGAGGAGTGAAGAAGAGACAGGGGGAAGACAGACAGGCGGGGAGGTGGGCGTCCCACCGCCACATTTGGCGCAGCAGCTGCTCTGCGCGCTCCATGCTGCCCGCACACGAGTGAGCCGCCGCCTCTGATGGCAGGTTGCTGGTAGGGAGAGGGGAGGACGGAGAGGGAGAGGGGGAGAGGGAGGGGGAGGGCAAGATGAAGGGGAGAGAAGGAGCAAGGAGAGAGAGAAAAAAAAAGAGGGAGTGAAGGGGAGGCAGGGGGAGGACCGAGAGGCAGGGTGCGTGTGTAGGGCAATGGGAGCAGTGGCGCGGTGGGAGCGGGAGCAAGGAGAGAGAAAAAAAAAAAGAGGGAGTGAAGGGGAGGCAGGGGGAGGACCGAGAGGCAGGGTGCGCGTGTAGGGCAATGGGAGCAGTGGCGCGGTGGGAGCGATGCGAGAGGAAATGCAATTGAGAAAAGGGGCAACAGGCTGAGCTGTTCGCCGCAAGTCCGACATGCCGCAATCGTAACCATGAGCCTGTTGCATTCAGCCCTCGCATGCGTGCATTTTTTTGCGTGCGCGCCTGCACCCATGTATGTGGGTATGTGCACCTGCCTGCCAGCAGTGCAGTGCAGGGTATGTGGGCAAGTGTGTGTGGGTATGTGTGTGGGCGTACCGGTTGCGTTTCATCTCCTTGAAGAGGAACTCGGCGTTGTCCACGTCGCCTGCGCGCCCGTATGCGTCTATCAGCGCCGTGTACGAGATGCCTGTGGGGCTGCATGCACCACCACCAAGCCAGCCACACCCACACACACACACACATACACACACACACACATACACACACACACACACATACACATACACACATACACACATACACACACACAACCGCATTCATCATTCCGCAACCGCGCAAGGTTGGGCAGGGTTGGGCGGGGTTGGGTGGGGGTTGGGTTTGGGGGGGGAAAGCACGGTAACAAGTACGGCGAAGCGGAGTGATATGAACGTGTAAGCGTTAGCACACAAGGGGGAGTCGTGAAACACATCACACCTTCTCAAGGTACATGAAAATCATAAGAATGAACCACGCGCAAGGCAAGCACATGCCTGCCACCCAGAGAGCGCCCAGCCCAGAGCAGCAGCACCATACGGGATGCGCCACATGATTGCTCATGTATTTATATTCACAAGCCTCCTCATACCCCTACACTTCAACCGCCCAGAGCAGCACCCTCAGAGCAGCAGTGTGAGCAGCAGTGTGAGCAGCAGTGTGAGCAGCAGTGTGAGCGTACCGGATGCGGCACATGACCATGTCGCGGAACACAGCCTGCGCCTCCTCCGCCCGGCCCGCACGCCCGTACGCACTCATCAGCGCCGTGTACGTCACCACGTCCGGCCGCATGCCCGCCGCTTGCATCTGCTCCATGTGCCCAGGGGGTGGGGGTTGGGGGAAGAGGGGGAGAAACAGGAAGAGGGGCGATCATGAGGCAGGAGTGCCATGGTTGCTGGTTAAGGGCTAATCAGCGCCGTGTATGTACGTCACCACGTCCGGCCGCATGCCCGCCGCTTGCATCTGCTCCAAGCGCGGGGGGAGAGGGGGAAGAAGGGGGGGAGCGGGGAGAGGGGGGAGGGGGGAGAGAGGAGGGGGGAAGGGGGTGGAAAAGGGGACCGGATGGTTCGTGAAGCCCAACTCTCATCTCCTCTCCTCCTCTCCCCGCATACACCCAATTGAGCAATTCTTCCCACCCCATTCCTCCCACCCTTATTCCCCTTTCTTCATCCCCATTCCCCTCCCCCTCTCCCTTCCCCCTTCCCTCCCCCCTCCCCTCTCCCCCATCCCCACACCTGTTTGAGCCTCGCGGCTGCGGGCGTGGCGGCGCATCGGACACCAAGCACGCCCCCCATCCCTTCCACCCTTAACCCCCTTCAATATCCCCCCCTTAATCTCCCACCTGTATCCCCCCTTCCCACGCACCTGTTTGAGAACAGCCTCGGCCTCGCGGCTGCGCGCCTCGCGGGCGAACATGGCCATGAGCGTGTTGAACGTGGCGGGCGACGGCGCCACGTCCAGCGCCTTCATGCGCCGGTACGCGCGCGACGCGTCCTCCGCCCGCCGCGCGCGCGCGTAGCAGTCTATCACCACGTTGAACATGCGCTCGTCCACCCGCACTGCCCCCGCCTCCGCTGCAGCTGCTCCTGGTGCTGCTGCTGCTGCTCTCTCCCCTGCTCCTGCTGCTGCTGCCGCTGCTGATGCTTCCTTCCCCACATGCCCCACGTCCAACTTCTCCCCCTCTGTCTCTTCCGCCTCCCCCTCCGCCCGTTCCTCCACAGGCCCCTGTCCGCTGCGCAGCAGCAGCTCCTCGAAAATGCGCTCCACGTCCTCCACACGGCCCGCCTGGGGGGGGGGCGGGGGAGAAAGGAGAGAGGTGGGGAGAATGAGGGGCAGTTGAATTCATGCGCAGCAGCAGCAGCAGCAGCAGCAGCAGCAGCTCCTCGAAGATGCGCTCCACGTCCTCCACACGGCCCGCCTGGGGGACCCCGAAATGGGAGGAGCGGGGTCGAGGGAATGGGACGGGGACGGGGACGGGGACGGGGAGGGGAAACGGGAGGGGGAGGAATAAGGGGCGGAGTGGGGAGAGTGAGGGGGACTTGGGCAGCAGCTGCTGCCCCATCTGCATAAACCCTGCCCCTCAACCCCTGACAACCAACAAAAAACCGGAAAACATCCCACACCATCCACCTCCCCGACCTTTCCACTCCCATCCCCTCACCTCCCCTCGATCAACCCCTTGGTCTCCGCCTCTCTTCTCCGCTCTCCGCCCCGCTCTCGTTCCCCCGCAGCTCTCTTTCCCCGTTCTCCTCCTCCCCCATCACCCTTCTCCTCCCCCCCCCCCCGCGCGCGCTCACCGAAGCGTAGCCCTTGAGCAGGCACTGGTACGTGAGCGCGGATGGCGCGGGGCCCTTGCTCTCCATGCGCCGCACCACGGCTTCCGCCTGCTCCAGCTGCCCGTTGCGCGCGTATGCCTCCACCATCCCCGTCATCACCACCGTGTTCGGCTCCATGCGCCTCCCCGCGCCCTTCCCTTCCGCCGCCCCGTTCTTCCCCGCGCCCCCATCCGCGACCTCCGCCTCCGCGGGCTCGTTCATCAGGTCGCGCAGCGCCTGCTCCGCGCGCGGGAGTTGGTGGCAGCGCGCGGCGGCGGTGATGAGCATGGCATAGTCGCGCTCCGACATGCGCCACCACCCCGACGCGCGCTGCTCGGGGGCCTGCAGCCAGTCGAACAGCTGCGGGGGATGCGGGGAGGGGCGTGTGGGAAATGAGTTTCGAAGAAAATAAAAACTGTCCGACAGGGTTTTGGGAAAAAGACGTAGGGGGAGAGGGTTTTACGGGTAATCTTTCCACTTGCACCAGGAGGTTTTCGCGAGCTCCCAACAAAAGAGAAACATTACAAGTCGCCCTCACCTCAACGACCGCGTGCCACATGCGCAGCTGATGCAGGCGCACCAACGCCCCCACCACATCCGTCCGCTGCACCCACCCCGCCGCGCGCGCGTCCGCCATGATCTCCGCCACCAGGCGCCCGTCCGCCGCCGCGCCGACCCTCCGCCGCTTCCCCGCTGCAAGCAGCTCCGACATAAGCACCTCCCACCGCCTCTGCGAAACGCTTTTAGGTTGCACGTTCTCGCCGTCTCGCCGCATCGGGGACCATTTGAGCCTCCCCGCCCCGACCTTCACCTTTTTCGCGAACGCCGCGGACACTACCACCAACGCGCGGGCTTTCCCGGTTCTCGCGCCCGCCGGCACCGCGAAACCCGGGGAGCCGGTGACGCCGATCGCCTGCGACGCGTGCTTGTGCGCCGAGGTTGATCCGCGCGGTTCCAGGAGTCGCGCGGAGATCCCTAAGCGGCCCGACATGAAGGCGGAATCGCTAGCTGCAAGGCGAGGATCGGAGGCAGCCGAGCTTGCCGTGAATGTGCGCTGGCGGGGCGCCGTGGTTGACATAGCCCATGGCGGGACTATGGCGCGGGTTATCCTAGTGGCTGCCATGGCGAGGTGGGAAGTCAAACGCGAAGTAAAGAACCGAGTGAGGAACAAAGGAGGACAAAGGACGGAGGTGGAGGGGTTTGCGAAGCGAAGCGATGCGAGTCCAATCCAAAGCACCTGACGATGATGTCAAGTGATGCACGCAGAAATGGAAGGAGTGCCGACGATGGATGATGTGCATGCGAGCGCATTGGCTAGCGCCGCGAATTGTTGTGATTCGGCGATTTCAGATGGGCTGCCTAGATTACTCCACCACAGCGAATGCCGGTGCGGAGTGGGCAAACAATAGTGGTCCATGTTGAGTTCTGCACTAAATTTATCTAGCTGATGATAGTAATGATATTACACAACATCACACCTCTAGCAACCACATTCCTAACCACTTCCACTCCCCTGCTTTTCACATGCATGGCCTTTGCTCCACCAGCAGCTTCCTCAATGAACAACTACGGTACATCCCGCATTCTCAAGTCTTGGCCCACTTGCCTCTCTGGTTTCTCCACCGCATGAACCGTTGCTGTCTTCGCTATCCCATCCACCTCCTGTACCGCGCCCCTCAAAAAGCTATCAGCAACCCTACCTTGCATCCGCCTCACTTCTTCCCAACATGTGCCTGCTGCTGTGTCCCCCCAGACCATTTCCCTACTTCCTCGCACGCACTCCTGCGCGCAAGCCACTGCCACTGGGGAGAGAAGGACCACCCGGCCTTGCTACACCATCACCATGCTGTCCTCGTCCATTCGCCCGAGGACCAACGCCATGTGCTGGAGCACCTGGGGGGGCTGCTGCAGCAACAGCAGCAGCAGCTGCTGCTCCTGCATCGGAGGCTGGTGCTGCTGCCGTGTGTTCCGGAGCACGGCCTTCCAAGCGCTGCTTGGTGTACAAGAGCACGGCCGAGGCTGTGTGGGACGGGAACACAAGGGCAAGGCGAGACAGAGCGGCATCGGTGACCAGCCAGGCAGCATCAGCAGGAGACATTCAAGCTGGTGAACCAACGAGTACACACAGAGGCAGCTGAGAGCTGGCCGGAATGTGAGCAAAGGCAAACCAGAGGGAATGAGGGGCGGAGGAGAATGATGTAGCGTTGCTAGCAGCTGACCTATCTCTCTCAGCTGGCTTGGGTCCAGCAGGCCTATGAGCGCTGAGGCTGCCCGCGCGTCCACACGACCCAGCAGCGCCACTCGCTCCGATGCCACCTGCTGTATGCCCGTCAGCAGCCGCTGCTCTCACACACACGCATGTACACACGTGTGACACATGACGGGGACACGGGGCGACGGTGAGGGTGAGGATGGTAGGGGAGAACATGGGTATGCGAGGGGTCACACACAGGGGCAGGTGGGAGGATACAGGAACCTCAGACAGGAAACCACGTAATAAACACCTTTTAGGAAACCTAGACGGAGACTGGTTCGACAAAATCCTGGCCAAGGCCCATGCGCAGCAAGCAAAGCAGAGCTCACCACGTGGTCTCTGCTCTCGTGTGTGGCCCACTCCCATTCCGTGCGAGCATCCACCAGCTTCTCCGCCAGCACCTCTCTCCTCGTCTGCACCACGCCCATGCCACTCTCCCCGCCACCATGCACCTTGTCCCAGTGCTTCTCGCATTTCAACCATGTCTGAGCCACCACCGGCACACCCCACGGGCACCCAGGCGCGTTGCAGACCACCTCGTCTGCTGACACTGGCACCGGGGCAAACATCCGAGCCTCTTCCGCTGCTGTGCCCAGCCCCACCGCCCGCCCCGTGCCGCCATACCACATGCCTCGGCCCTCTTGCCCTGCTTCTGTTTCAGCTGTTGCTGCTGCTGCCTGTGGTTGCTGTTTCTGCAGGGAAGCTGGGGTCTTTTCCCGCTGACCTTTGCTACTCCGCCCTCCCCGTCCCGCCCCTTTCCGCCCCGATCCCATCCGCCCACCGCCTCCCCCTGCGCCTGTTCCTCCCCCCTCGCCTGCCACCACCAGCGCCTGCGACCATCCCGCATCCTCGCCCCGCCCCTGCGCGTCCCTCTCGCGGAGCAGCGCGAGCTGGCGCTGCTGCTGCAGCATGCGCGAGAGCGGGATCGCGAGCTGCCTGCGCTCGCCGCCCTCCACGGACCGGAAGTACGTCGGCAGCTCGCTGTACCGCCCCGAAGGGCCGCGCGACGCGAACTGGCACTCCAGGTCGCGCGTGAGCAGCCGCCGTCGCGACGCCACCGCCGGGTGCGCGAGCTGCCCGTGCCACGCCACCCACCACGGCACCCCGCCTCCTCCTTCCCCTCTGCCTCCGCCGCTGCCGCCGCCGCCGCCGCAGGCAGCGCTCCCGCGTCTGGCGCCACCGCCCTGAGCGCCTGCGCGGTTTCTGTATCGGGGCTTGCCGCCCCTGGTGCCAGCACCACTCCTACCATTCGGTTCCATCGGTGCACCCTCCCCCTCCCGACTTCCCCCACTCTCCCTCCTCTCCTCCGCTTCCCCTTCCACATCCTCTCCTCCTTCCCCTGCTCCATGCTGCTCCTCCTCACTCTCCTCCTCTTCTCCCTCGTTACCCTCCCCCTTCTCCCTCTCCTCGTCTTCCTCCTCCGCCTCTTCCTCCTTGTCCTCATCCCGCCAATCATAGTCATCCAATTCCTCTTCATCCCCGGCCTCTTCGTCGCTCTCCCACGATCCCAGCATGCGTCCCTGCTCCTCCTCCTCCTGCCGCGCCATCGCCTGACACCACGCCTCAACGCACTCCACCCCTCTCGCCTCCGCGGGATAATCGCTCAGAAACTCCAAGAACCGCCACATGCGCAGCCGCCGCCGGAAATACGCCAGCGACCCGACCTGTCCGCCGGCCCCGTGCCGCTCCGCGACCCACTCCAGCATCTCCTGGGGTCGGTGCCGAAGCGCGGCCGGCAGTCTCCGCTCCGTCCGCTTCAGCTCCGCCAACCACCGCCGCGCGTCTTCCTCCACCATCCCTGCGCGCCGAGCCTCGCGTGGGTTTAGAAGAACCAGCTGCAAATCGTTCGCGGGAGTGGCTTCCAGCGGGTCATCCACCTTCACCAAGCCCCAATCCGCGCTATAATCGTGTTCAGTTTCGGTCCTAAGCTCCGAGTGCTCGATCATTGCGAACGCCGTTGTAGCACCGTCTCTGCCCCCCTTGACGTTCCTGTCTCTCCCCCCACCTTCCCCTCCCCCTCCCCCTCCCCCCCCCCCCCTTCCTCTCCCGAACCTCCCGTCCGATCCTCCCCGCCGCTGCCAGGCCATAGTCTCCGCACAATGCTGTCCCTCCTGTTACTGCCCTCCGAGTTTCCTTCCTGTCGCCCGTCCAGTCGTCGTCGCTTCCTCGCGCCTTCGTTAAGACCCTCCCCGCTACCCTCCTCCGCCGCACCTCCCGCGCCTCTTTCGACCTCCTCCCCGTCGACCATGTCCACGTCAGCCAAGCATGGGGCGTCGTCGCCCATCGTGCTGCCCGCATCTTCGCCTAAGCTCCCCGCGATCAACGCGCGCCTGCCGCCGCTACCGCGCTCCTGCTGCAACCATCGCTTCATGGCTGACGATCCGGACGCCCCTGCGGAAGAGGAAGGTAGCGCGCTGCCAGGGGAAGCGAAGGGGCGTGACGCATTTCGCTTCTGTCGGGAGCGCAGCACGCCCATTTCGCTGCGTAGAAGCGAGCGCTGACGAGCAGCCTTGAGGCGGTCCGTGGGAGTAGATTTCGGCGGGAGGGCCGCTCGGGCCTTGTTAGGCCTCCCAGGTGTGAAAGGATGCGACATGGCTGCGCTAAGCGACGGGAGAAATGGCGAGCAAAAAGGTTAGGGTTCCATATGAGGAGAGGTTTGGGGGAAGTGGGAGGTTGTGGGCTTTTGTTTTGATAGCTTGGGCGAAAGGGATGCCGATACTGGTTCAAGTGCTTTGATGGTTGGGTCTTGTATCGAGTTGATTGATGTCAACCTCACAATAGGTGCTGTTGATTCATAAATACGTGCACTAAGTTGCCATCCATATAACAGCACACAATTTGTTTCAACATATACAACGCTGGAATTCATTAGCAACTCTTGAAGCTGTATACAGTGAAAGCAGTGTCAAAAGGTATTACAGGATTTTGCAGACGAAATATGTCAGGAAACTAGAGACCCCTGTACTAAATGATAACATGATGTGTGCTGAGTGAATGGTGTCCCCATCCCAGTAAAAGTCTATTAAGCTAAAACTGCATCTCGGTTACCTGTTACATGTTGTGCAATCCACCCAAGCCCTTCAAACAGGCCCTCCCCTGTTAGTGCACAGCATGCCTGAATATGCCAGTCGTGATTCTTGATAAGATGAAGAGCCAGAGCTTCACTTATTTCTGCTGGCGTCATGGCCTCCTTCAGGTCCTGCTTGTTGGCAAAGACGAGAATGACCGCATGAGCTAAATCTTCATGCCCCAGCAAGCGAAACAGCTCATCCTTGGTCACGCCAATGCGGCCTCGGTCTGTTGAGTCAACTACCATCACCACTGCGTGTGTTCCTCTGTAGTAGGTGGCCCAGGATGGTCGTAGTCGCTCTTGCCCTCCTAGATCCCATACCTGCCACATAAAGTTGCAGGAAATGTACAAAAGAACGATGGAAAATCCAAACTCAGACGAATAGTGTTCCTTGGCATATGCGGTACGGATATGATGGCTTTCTGAGCATAACGGGGAAACAAGGCACGGCTGACGCATGACAGGCGAGATGAAGACGGTACCACCCTCTGAATCTTAGTAACGTAGGGACATTGTACGAATTACAAAATACAGCTACCATGATGATAGGTGGAGCAGGATGCACTCGAAATAACTGCAGGTCTTCGATCATCATGAAGATGGTCGCATCGAAGAAGCAAATACATGGAAGAAACGCTGCGTGAAACGATTGCGTTTATGCGAATGCGCGCATTTCTCGCAGTCCTATATACGGCTGACGTCAGGCAAGAATGACGCAAACCTAGCTGCGGAATGACTTCGGCTCACATCACGCAACCCTAATTGCGAAACACACACAACGGACGTCTCGATGCCTGATTCCGAGGTACATTTGACCTTACTTTCAGCTGCAACGATAAGATTCACGACATGCTATGCAGGTCAAAGGGACCCATCCGACGTACGACTCAGGCACCCAAGCGGATCCGAAACCTATGGCACCTGTGCTGATCCACGAGCGGATTAGCGTGTGGTACAACTTACCTCGAATCGTATGTTTTTATAGACGAGTTCCTCCACATTACTCCCGACCGTAGGTTGTGTCACCACGACCTCGCCCAGATGTAGCTTGTAAAGCGTTGTCGTCTTACCAGCGTTGTCCAAACCGACAACCACAATCTTATACTCCTTCGCCGGGAACATGAGGAACCAGAGTCTGGATATTAGAGCTCCCATGCTGCCTGAACCTCAGAAAATAGTATACAGTGAACAATGAGACAAGGCCTGGCTAACTACGTGATCAAATCTACTAATTCGTGGCCACTTCGCAAAATTCAATACGAGATGGATCAAAAGACACCACAATCGGCAGCTTGTACGGGGGTTAGGTCTGGAAACAGCTGCGAGGCGAGTAGGCAAGCAAGGTTCTCAGGCTCTCAATGGAGTTTGATCCAGTGAAGCAGCAAGGTGTTGGGTAGGATAGACAGGACAAAGGGGGGGAAAGCAGGAAGGAAATACAACCCGAGCCTTGCGTCACGTCACGAAGGAATAGGCACACACACACCACCTCCGTCCCACGTCCTCGACCTGGTGTGAGCTGAACAGAAACCCGAACATTAACGAAACTCTTGAGGGTACACTATACGTCTAAAATCATGGGGGTTAAAAAAAAGAGTCGTGCTTGTGGCGGAGGCAACAATAAAGTGCCTTCTCAGGGCGCATTCTTACCTCGCGTCAGACACGAAGTGGAGGTTTGGATAGAGGTTCGGAAGACCCGAAGTGGCCCACTTCGGGTCTTCCGACCATTGATTTGCCAGAGTTCCAGGTCACCTCGGGTCTTCCTCAACCTCACTTTGCGTCTGACCTCACGTCAGACACGAGCCAAGAATGCACCCTCAATGGCTGGAATTGAATCAATCATGTTGTGAATCTAAAAAACTTAATTACAGTAGTTGGACTTTCATCTGGACAATAATAATAGCTTATATGATCTATAACAGCGTGGCAGCAGCGCAGTAGCATGCCACATAACTAGCCTACTGGGTCACAATTCTACAACCTCTAAACAAATAAATAATTACTAACTGACATATAAACTACACACTAGTCACAGAAGTCGTCTGACCTCGTGAGGACAGAAAATGCGTAGGGGAGTGACGAATGTGGAGTAGAAGAGGGAGAAAGCAGAGTAAAACGCAAGTCAAGGAGACAGGGAGGACAGGAGATACGGTACGAAAGATGAACAAACGACTAGATTACAAGCGGAGGCGGGGATGTGCATGCGAAGGCCGTTGAAGCTACTGTTGCCACATGATCTGCCGTGGTATGGACAGAAACACCAGCAGCCCCACCACGACCACCTTCACCACCACCACTAACAGCAGCAGCATGCAAGTCTGCAGGTGTAAAAGCTTGCATGGTCAATGCACCCGTCTCCTTGCGTTCACGCGGCGATGATGCCTCTTCCTTCTCCCTATTCCCCCCCTGCTGCCCGTGCGTCACCAGCAGCCCTTGTGCAACAGACCCCGCGAGGGACTCCAGAGGACCTTTACAGCCCGCAGGGGCCTGGTTACTGACAGGCGGAATGGCTGCTGCTTCTGCCAGCAGCGGCTGGTCCAAGGAGAGGGACGGCAGCGGGTAGAATGCAACTTCTGCTGCTGTCGATGCTGCTGCTGCTGCTTCTCCGCCTGCTGCTGCTGCTGCTGCCGCTGCCGCTGCTTTTTCATGCGCTGCTGGTGGAACTGGTAATGCTGCAAGCCTGCTCGAGCCAACACAGTGAGAGCTGCCTGCATTGCCACAACCACTGCCACTGCCGCTGCCAATGCCACTGCCACTGCCACTGCCACTACCACCACTACTGCTGCAGCCACTGCCGGTGCTCACACCAGCACCAACCATCCCAGGAGAAGTTACCTCCGCAGGCAATCTCCCGCCTGCCCCACCAGCCACAACATGAGACAGTGCCACCATAGGAGCGGTCCCCGCGGACGCAGGCGCAGACGCAGGAGGAGCAGGCGATGTGGTGGCAGGCGACATGGGCGCAGGGGAGGGCGGGGCGGAGGAGGCAGAGGGGGAGAGGCCGGCAAAGATGTCGCGAAAAAGAGGGTGAGCGCCGCGCCTCAGGCGGCTGCCTGTGAGCGTGCGCCGCGCGGAGGAGGGCGCTGGGCAGCCACCGTGGCTGAGGCTGGCATGGTGGTGCGCATGGAGCAATGCCTGGGCGTGCTGCTGCTGCTGGTGTTGGTGTTGCTGTTGCTGTTGCTGCGGCTGCTGGTGCTGGTGCTGCTGCTGGTGTTGTAGCTGGTTCTGGTGCTGCTGCTGGTACTGCTGCTGCTGTTGCTGCTGGTGGAACTGCTGCTGCTGCTGGTGGAACTGCTGCTGCTGCTGGAATACCTGTTGCTTCTGCATCAGCTGGCTCTGGTGCTGCTGCTGGAGCTGCTGGTGGTAGTAGCTGCCCTGCATGCCTGCATGCTGATTTACACCATGCTCACTCCCCCCCTGCTGCACCTTCCTACCCTGATTATTCCCAAACTGCTGCTGCTGGTTCCCGCCCTGCTGACTCCCACCATGCCCCACAGAAACACAGGCGGAATCCCCCGCATCTCTCACGCCTGCCTGCTGAAAAAGAGCGACCCTGGGAAAAGGCCATGGAGAGGAGCTTTGCAGGTGAGAAGGAGGAGGAGGAGGCGGAGGAGGAGGAGGAGTAGGAGCGCCAGGATCAGGAGCAGGTGAGAAAGCCCCCGTCACACACGTAGCATCAGCAGATGCTGCTGCTGCTGCTGCTGCTGCTGCTGCTGCTGCTCCGACCGGCGCAGGAGCAGCAAGAGAGACCGTGACTGGCGAAGCCGGAAGCGACCATGAACCAGCAGCAGCAGCAGCACCAGCACCAGCACCACCAGGACCAGCAGCAGCAGCAGCAGCAGCAGCACCGGGAGTGCGCGAGCCCACAGGAGTGCCAGGTCGGACGAGGCGCCTGACGATTCGTCCCCCCTGCGTGTGGTAGAGCAGCCAGGGGTGCGTGAGAATGCGGTCCACTGTGGGGCGGCGACCAGGGCACGGGTTGAGCAGGCAGCGCACGAGCGACTTGGCCTCCGTAGACACGCTCGGCCAGGGCGCAGAGGAGAAATCCAAAGGGGAGGAGGAGGAGGAGAGTGTTGCAGGTGCTGATGCAGATGCAGGTGTGGATGTACATGCAGAGGCAGAGGCGGAGGAGGAGGAGGAGGCAGCAGGTCGCGGGTTGCTGGCTACAGCGGGCGGTGCAGTTGCTGCTGCTGCTGCTGCTGCTGTTGCTGTTGCTGCGGTGGCAGCAGCGAGGGCAGCGGCAGCGGTTGCAGCAGAGTGGGCTGCTCGGCCGTGGCAGCGCGAGGGGCAGGGGCAGGGGCTGCGTGCAGGGCTGCCGAGGACACGGCCGTGCGTGAACGGGCTGCTGTGGTTGCTGTGGTTGGTGTGGTTGAGATTGTGAGTGTGAGCAGGGTTGTATTGCATGCCTGCTCCTCTCGGAGCAGGACTCATCAGCCCACCACCAGCAGCAGCCCCAGCAGCCGCCGCCGCAGCAGCAGCAGCAGCGGCGGCAGTGGCAGCATTAGCAGCATCGGAGTACGCCCTGACCGACGCAAAAATAGCATCAGTATTCGGGCCCCAGAACGGCGGGTAGCCTGCCAATAACGAGTACAGAATCACTCCTAGCGACCACACGTCCGCAGGAAAACCATACGACCCGGAGATAACCTCTGGAGCCATGTATATTGGCGAGCCTGCAGGCCCCACCACGCTCTGCCCTGCCTTGAGCCGCACCGAGAGCCCAAAGTCGGCTAGCTTGACCCTCCAGGTAGGGCGAGGGGGCGCGGGGGAGAAGGGGGAGGAGGAGATGACGTGGCAGGGGGATGACGGGGCTGAGGACGGGGAGGAGAAGGCGAGGGGGTAAGGTCGAGGGTGGGACAGGGGACTGGCTGGTGGGTGGGAGGAGAGGGGGGTGTGAGGGAGGGTGTGAGTATGAGGGTGGTTGCGGGGGAGGGTGTAGGTGTGGAATGGAGTGTGGGTGTGCGCAGGAGGCTTGGAAGGGAGAGGGGAGGAGGGGAAGGGGGTGAAAGAGAAGGGGGCGGACCGGACACCAGGGGAGGGGGAAGAAGGAGGCGTGAACACTGCAGCGTGGGGGGCAGGCGCATGAGGGAGAGGGGCTTGGGGGAGGGGAGCGGGATGGGGGAGAGCTGGAGGAGACTGAGGAGTGGGTGGCAGTGCGGGCAGGTTCAGAACGGTGGGAATGGCGGATAAGGCAGGCGGTAGGGACGCGGGGGAGGGCGCAACTGGAAAGGGCGAGGCAGAAGCAGAAGCAGCGGCAGCGGCAGCAGCAGAGGCAGAGGCAGATGCAGAGGCGGGTGAATTGGAGGAAAGCAGAGCGAGGGAGTGGGGCGCACAGGGGCTTGCAGAGAGAACATGGGCAGAAACGGCGGCAGGAGCAGGCGCGAGGAACGGCGAGCAACTGGGGGCCGCGGAACGGGTTGAGGCAGGAGAGGGTTGTGCGGAGGGAGCAGTGGGGGCGAAGATGGCTCGCGCTACAAACAGCCTCGACAGCTTTCTGCCGCCACTCACGCCGTCGCCAGCACCGCCAGCACCAGCACCAGACGAACCACCTTTAGAAGCAGCACCAGCACCAGCAGGAGCAGAACTCGCAGCAGCAGCAGCAGCAGCAGCAGCAGCAGCGGCGGCAGCAGTGGGACTGAAGGGTTTCAAAGGTGACAGCATGGACAAATCCATCGGTTTAATTGGCGACGGCAGCATTTGCGCTTGCTGCTGCTGCTGCTGCCGCTGTTGTGCCTGCTGCGCAGTCAACGGCCTGATGGGCGACGGCAGCGCTGCTCCCTGCGCCACATTCAATGACCGCGTTGCCGATGGCACCACCACGCTGCTGCCTCCATCCCCATCCCCATCCACATCCACATCCATCGCCGATCCTAATTCCACTCCAACTGGTACTCCAACAACAGTCGCCTCCTTTCCACACGGGCTGCTGACCATAGCAACAGCAGCAGCAGCAGCGCTCGCGGCGGCAGGAGAGGCGGCAGCAGCGTCGTGTGCCTTGATGGGCGACGGCAGCACGCTCCTCGCCGCCTCATTCGCATGTGCGTCGAAGCTCTTCACCGGCGTCCGCACGTCCTCGGCGCCTGCAGCAGACGCCGCAGCAGCAGCAGCACCACCACCACCACCCGTCCCGTCAACGTCGCCAGCGCCACCCACGCCGCCAGTGGCGGCAGCAGCAATGGAGCAAGAGAAGGCCCCGCCGCCGCCTTGCACGGCCGCGTTGGCGGCAGACGCGGCGGCAGACGCGGCGGCGGGCGGCAGAGTGAGCTCCTCCATGGGCGGCAGCGGCGTGAATGTAGAGAGCGTGATGGTAGCGGGGGACGCGGACGGCAGAAGCGCAGCTAGCGGAAGCGCGAGGGGGGATTGGCACCCCGAGGCGAGAGGGGGAGAGGACGGGAGGGGGGACGGGGACCGAGGGGGGGTAGATGAAACTCGCGCGCTTCTTTCCGCTCGCGCCACTTGCCCTTGCGCCAGCTCCTCTTCCGCCAGTTGCCCCTGCGCCAGCTGCCCTTCCGCGCGCCTTGTGTCAGCGCACGGGACTGGTTCGCCCGCGTGACCTGCGGCGGCATCCCCCATGGCCGCCTCGCTGCTGCGACTCGCGCCCACGTGGCTCGAAAGGCGCGCGCGCTTCTCCTGCGCCAGCTGCTCCCCTCTGCCCTCGCCCCCTTGCTCCTGCTCTCTGCTCGCTTGTCGCGCCTGAAATTGCTGCTGCTGCTGACCCAGCGCGTGTTGCGGCGTCGACGACTTGAATTGTGGTTGTCGTAGCGGCGTGTGCTGCTGCTGCTGCTGCTGCTGCATGTGCATGTGTTGCTTTTGCCACCGACCGTTGACCATACCGGGAGACAAGTACTGTGGCTGCTGCTGCTGATGCGGTTGCATCGAGAACATCTGGCGTTGCTGCCACTGGGGCTGCTGCTGTCGTTGCTGTTGCCACGAACCCGGCGGTCCACCAACCGAACCAGTAGCCGAACCTGGCGCCGAACCGCCAATTCCGCCAGCAGCCGCCGAACCAGGCGCGGTGGCGGGAGCAGGGCTGGAAACGAACCCACTTCCTCCTGACAGCCCCGCACCGCCACCACCACCACGCGCAGAGCCGCTGCCGCTGCCGCCGGCGGTTGCGGCGGCGGCGGCAGCGGCGGCGGGCGACGTGTCGAGCAAGATATTCTCCGGCTTCAAGTCGCGGTGCAGCACGCCCTGCGAGTGACAAAACGCGACGGCGAGCACGAGGTCGCGGAACGCGAACGCCGCCTCGCGCTCCGACAGCCGGCGGCTGCGCTGCAGATGATCGAACAGCTCTCCGCCCTCGCATAGCTCCATCAGCACGTGCACGGCGCGCTCGTCCTCCAATACTCCGCGCAGCTGCACCACGTTCGGGTGCCCCGCTAGCCGTTGCATCGCCGCGATTTCCTGCCGAACCTCGTCCCATTCCTCCGGATCGGCGATTCGCGTCTTCGAAATGCTCTTGCAGGCGAGCCGCTCGCCCGTAGCGCGGTTCTCGACCTCCCGGACCACGCCGAACCGCCCCGAACCTAGCTGCCGGCCGACGCGGTACACTGCGTCCAGCCGCTGCCACGTGGAGCCCGCAACGGGCGCGGCCGGGACGGCGCTAGTTCCTCCGGACTGAATTTGCGGCGCCTCGGCGCTCGGCGGCGGAAGAGGCGCTTGAGACGTTTCGTACGGCGCGATAGCGACGACCGCGGCGGGAAGCGTCGCTGCCTCCGACGACGCTGGGCGGAACGAAGCGGCGGAGGCTTGCGGCGGATGCACGACGGGCGCGGGCGGCGAGCAGGCAGCAGTGGCGGAGACGGCGGGTTGCGCAGAGACGGCGGCGCAGAGCGGGCTTGCGGCAACGGGCGGCGGGCACGGCCTTGTGTCAGCGGATTTTTCGTCGCACGGCCGTTCGTCGCACGGCCTAGACTGTTCGAGCGACAAGTCGGAGACTGTGGGCGCGTGTTCCATGCTGCCTAGCGGAGGCAGCGATACGCAAGACGATGCCTCAGTCGCCGACGGCTCCGCGGGGACATTCCGCGCGCCCGCTCCATAATCTCCCCCGCCCCCGCCTCCGCCTCCGTCTCCACCTCCGTCTCCGCCTCCGCCACACACGGTGGATGCTCCTCTCCCAGGGGCGCATCCACCCGCCGTCCTATCCGCTGCTTGGGGGCCTGCAGGGAGTGGCGGACGGGGAATTGCGCCTTCGGGCGGTCCGTTCGCGGCGGACTCGCGGGACGACGGCGTTGGGGAGGACGGCGGCGGTGGCGGAGATTCGCGCCGCTGCCGTTTGGCGATGAGCTGCTGCGATAATTCTCCTCGTCGTCCCTCCTCGCCACTGTCTGCATTCGCTCCGCCTTCTCCCTCTGCTTCAATCCCTGCCCTGTCGCAAGAGGCGTTCTCTTGCGCCCGGCTCCGCTTTAACTCGCGCAAGCTGTCTGCGGCGCAGTCCTCCCCGTTCCCAATTGACATGCTTGCGCAGCCGCCGCTAGCGCTGGAAACGGCAATTTCGGCGTCCAAACGCTGATGGTGATGGTGATACTGCTGCTGCTGCTGCTCCTGCTGCTCTTGCTGCTCCTGCTTTTGCTTCGCCACCTTTACTCCTTGTGACTGCCTTATAAGATTGGTGTTAGAGACCTGCGCCTGGAGCATTGTGCCTGCTCCGCGCATGCAGCCCAGCTCACGCGCGTTCAGAAGCTGCGCGGGTTGCGCGGAGTTAAGATCGTTCCGCCTGTGCGTAGCCGCTCCTCCGCCGCTGTCGGCTTCCTGCGAGCATCGTCCTTCCGCCATGGCGGACTTTTAAGCGTTTAAAACCACCCTAAGTTTTACCCGTACGCTAAATGTAGTTTTTGGTTCGCCATGGGGCGACAAGATTCGGAGTTGGCGAAATTCCACGAGGGGATGGCTGTGGATGGGCACGCAAAGAGGGCAAGCACACAGTAACCGTCAAAGAGCGAAGCTCTCTAAATCTTAACCCTGTGGAAGGTGCTAGATGGACTCCCAGGAAAAGTGAAGGCCTTTTCTTCAAATCACTAGCACGTTCTTCCTTCCATATGGTTGGTGGAGAGATTCCTGGGTGAGGAGAGGAGGAACCAAGGGTGTGTATCTAGAGAGGAGATGGCTGAAGTGGAGGCTGGTGTTGAGTGGTTTGGTGTGGTGAAGGCAGGCAGGCAGGCAGGAAGGAACAGGCAGCAGTCACGCAAGCAAGCTGCTGGGCTGGAGAGCGCTCTCGGCATCCACCCAACCCCACCCCACTTCGGCTTGTGCTTCTTTCATTTTCGCCCTCGCTTCGCCTCCTCCCTTCAACTTGCTGGTCGGCTCGGAGCGGCACGCACGGCACCGAACAGCATTCAGACCTTCCCCACACCACTGCTTTTTCCCCAAATCGCCCCTAACCTAGCCTGTTCCGCCACACCACTGCTTTTTCCCAAAATCGCCCCTAACCTAGCCTGTTCCGCTGGTATGCAGTAGCCTCTCCGCCCACGCCTCCGCCCCTCCGCTTCACTCATCCCCGCCAGCCCAGACGGCCTCCTCCCCCACACAGCCAGTTGAAGGACACTAAGGCTCCCTCAACCCCCCTCGAACCCCTCCGCTCCGCTCACAATATTGCTGACGTAAGTCTTCCCCCTCGCACAGTACAGTACAGTGCCCTAGAGTCCCCAAAACAGCCCTCATTTCGTCGTTGTCGTCTAGTTTCCCCAATTCTCGGAGGTACAGGATACAAACTAGAGGGGGGACAGTCAAGTCTTGAGGTGTGGGCGACTCGACTTTCTCATCCTCAAGCTGCATCACATGTGCATTGCTACTTGCAATGACCAGAAAAGACACTTGACCAGAACTGGCCAGAACCGTCTAAAAATTGCACTCCATGGGAAGCTAAAGTTTTGGAAAGTAGTTATTGATGGCACACTTTCATTGGAACCGCGAGATGTGGCGTCTGTGCCTGAGTTTTGCAAATGGGAAACTGGTTTATACGAAGGTACCGAAAAGGAATTGGAATGCTGAAATGTTCCGTTGTGGGTGGATTCTGCTGCTGCCCGTAAAATGAAACGGTCACTTGGATTCATGTGGTAAAATACGAAGCTGAACGCACATATCTGCAATGAAGGGGCAGCGTTCTCTAATGTGGAATATTCCACCTGTCCAGTTTGGATGTCTGGGTGGATAATGAGTGGTAAGAATCATTTTGGGCAGAATGACATGCTCCATTAAAAACCACTTTTGGCTGGATGAATTTCAGCCACAATTGCGAAACGCTGGATTGAACCAATGGGTAGAGAGAGGCTGGAGCAGAGGAGCTCGAACCGCTGAGGCTATCCCATACCTTCGAAACAGCCAATAAAATATCGGTGTGTTCAGAGAAACAGCTGAGACGGCCAATCAGATTAAAGTTGGCAGAGGAGCTTCCGCAGTGTGGATGCGATTAGCGACGGTGTCAGGTCATTTGAAGTCAGGGACAATGTCGAGGTAAAAGAAGCGGTAAATCAGAGAAAGCACAGTGAATCTGAAAACTCTACACTTTCACTACTCTTCTAAAGATTCACTTATCAAAACCATAATAATATATAGTGCCGGTATATATAATTGGGTAAAGAGGAACCTTGTAAGAATATATCAATTCCTTATTCTGTATCGCCGCCTCTATCACGTGCAACTGTTACCCCCACTTTCATCCAACAGTGTCCCGTTACCACCTCGCAAGTTGCGACATTCGCTTCTGTTCCCGCCTGTACCACTGTCGTGCTCCGAACCACACGAACCAACGACGGTAGTAACTCGCTACTCGGCGCTATGACTCGACAATTCACAGACCCCCGCGCCAGGCCCTAAGGGCACCCTTTGCGAGAGTTTATTACCATTCGTTCATGCCTTCACTTGTTATGCCGTATTGATTGATTCCATAGCAATTTTCTAACTCGATCACTAAATTGTGTTACGAATAGTGGTTAATGAAAAACACTGTTGCGCACTCCTCACCGTAGCACAGCCGAAGCACGCACTATGGAGAGTGAAGACGAAAAGGCAGAAGAAAGGCGAAGGGACAGACGGTTACGAGGAGCATCTGAACCGTCGGGCAGACAGCATCAGGCAGCAGCAGTGGCGAGGATTCTGCCTGAACACTTACGTAACCACTCGGAGTCGCACGATTGGATTTCGCTGCAATAAGGGAATGTACTGTCAGATTTATATGACATAGCTGTTGTAGGCTATAGTGTCAAATGTTGTAGCCTGTAGTGAGGTTTGTCTTAGGGGGTACAGAAGTTAGGGTTTGTCATATGTACCCCAACCAACATCAATGCAACATCCATTCCTCATTTTCACATGGTATCAGCTAGGTTAGGATCCTGTGGGATCCCGTTCCTCTGTTCTCCGTTCGTCCCTCCCGAGCCTGATCCTACCTCTCGTTCGTACCAGTTTAGTTGTTACCGCGCCTAGTACCGAGCCTAGCATCATCTCCCCCGTCGCGTCGCGCCCGTTCCCCCCGTCGCGTCGCGCCCGTTCCCTCCGTCGCGTCGCGCCCGTTCCCCCCCGTCGCGTCGCGCCTGTTCCCCCCGTCGCGTCGCCCTGCCCTGTCCCGTCGCCCTGTCCCGTCGCGTCGCCCTGTCCCGTCCCGTCGCCCTGTCCCGTCGCGTCGCCCTGTCCCGTCCCGTCGCCCTGTCACGTCGCGTCGCCCTGTCCCGTCCCGTCGCGTCGCCCTGTCCCGTCCCGTCCCGTCCCGTCGCCCTGTCCCGTCGCGTCGCCCTACCCCGTCGCGTCGCCTTGCCCTGTCCCGTCGCCCTGCTCCGTCGCGCCGCCCTGCCCCGTCGCGTCGCCCTGTCCCGTCGCGTCGCCCTGCCCCGTCGCGTCGCTCCCGCCCTTTCCCCCGTCGCGTCGCCCTCCCTACGCCCTAGCCCGTCGCCCTCCCTAGGCCCTGGCCCGTCGCCCTCCCTAGGCCCTGGCCCGTCGCCCTCCCTAGGCTCTGGCCCGTCGCCCTACCCTAGGCCCTGGCCCGTTGCCCTACCCTACGTTTTGGCCCGTCGCCCTAGCCCGCTCTTCCGCTGCGACTGAGTCCTCTTCCCCCCCCGGTTGTTACTCGCCTGTTCGTTCGCGTTAGTTCTCACTATGGCGACTCCGCGAGTTCTTCGTTTCGACGCTGACGGTAGACCCCTTGACTTTTCCGTCTGGCTTCTTCGCGCTCGTCGTCTGTTAGAGAGTCAGGTCCAGGGGGGCGAGACCCTCTGGTCACACGCTACTGGTGACCTCCCCGAGCCCCCCGAGCCTACCGCTTTAGGCCCTGCTCCTGACGACGCTGCTACGGCTCGCTTTGCCCGTCAGCGCGCTGACCGGACGGCTTGGACGTCGCGTGACGCTGCGGCCTGCATCGCACTCAGCAGCCTCCTCCCTGAGTCCGAGGAGGTCCACTTTAC